ATAATTATTTTAGTAATTTAACCCATATCATCAATATCTGAACTTTGAACGCTTAAAAAAAAGAATCATGACTGGATTTTTGTAATCTGTATATTTCCATAAGAACAACACCTGACGAAAAATATCTAATGTTGAATGTTTTTTCCCCCCCGTTTTCCCATAATGTTCAGAAATTTATATTCGGATTCACAGACAGGAAAAAAAACAAAAATAATAATTATTTTGGTATGACTTATTTATTCCTCACTCCACTCAGAATTTAAAATTCAAAATTTAAAAGCGAGGGAAAACTGGTGATATATAAGCATTTGTCCAAGACCTTGCACCCCTGAAAGGCCTCGCATCAATAGATACCCAAATATTTGTTGGTTTTAAACACAGGCCACATGTTTAACCATATCATGTTTTATAATTAGTAATAATCAATTTTAAATTTAACATTACATATAATAGAGACTACATCTTACATTGTATATTATTATATTAGCTTCTGACTTATAAGATGGATAAGTGGTTTGTCATCTTGATTGCAGAACTAGTTTTAACAGGATCGAAAACTATTATAAGTTAGTATTATTTTTTATTTTTTTTCATTTTACATTGGTGAAAAACAAAACCATTAAACTTTAAATTAAAATATAAAAAATGGACATACTTTGCACGTGGATACAGTCACGGTTGTAGGTAAGAAGTTGAGAAGGTAGTAGAGAAGAAATTTAATTTATATCTGTAAGCAACGATAAACCATTGCTAACGAAAAAACGATTCTGAGTGGAGTTCAGTTAATAGTGTTACTTTGTCAACAATATATATTATATATGCCATAGGATGGTAAAATAATTACATAAGCACTAAATATTTTCTGTAACTATATTTGTTTAATATTGTACCCATATAAACATCTTTGTAAAACCATAAGCTTCTAGAACTTCTCTAGAACTAATCAGAATCTAAAAAAATTAACAATTAAACTAATATAAATAATAATATTATCAACAAATATATTTAAAAGCAAACATCAATCTTAAACAGCAGATTTAAGAGCACCGCATCCTGATGTTATTTTTATTAAAATATCTGAAATCTGAAATAGTAAATTAAAGCCGATATCACACTATCGATACATTTTGTCGTGGTTACCTGTGAAAAACTTTTCTACTCTTACTCCGATTTTAAGCGTAACACTTTTTCTGAAAGGAAATTTTCCCTCGGTAATACTAAAAGTAAATAATTTTTTGAATTTTTAAGTAATTTTTATAATAATTGGAAAAAATTGCGTAAAATATAGGAAAAACGGGAAAATGTACGTAATTTATAAAAAAAACTTCACGCCGAATCGTTTTACGTTAACAATAGTTTATTGTTGCGTACAGATATAAATTAAATTCTTAACTTCTTACCTAAAACAGAGGCCCACCCATAATGTGTTTCGTCTTTTTTTTATAAAGTTATTTTATATTTTTAATATATCAAAAATAAATTTTGATTAATTTGTATGTATTTACATAATATATACAATTTGCATGAACATATAGATATGATCAATAGACGAATAAAATATTATTTTGTTATTTATGCAAGTTGAGTAATGATGGATTATTAATCAAAAATTTTAAAAATGTATTCAACATATTTTTAAATAATAACAAAATATTTTTACAGAGGTCTAGTAAAACAGAGGCACCAATCTAAACGCCTACGAATACTGTAGATCTTAATACAGGCCTGATTCCTCTACAATTTGTAATTTCTTGCAGTCATAATATAGTGATTTTTTTTTATGACTCTCGAGCAATCAAAGCCTGGAACTCTTTGAGTAGGGTCACTTATATGGTGTCTATTTTTACATTGCCATCTTCCTGTTACGTACCCACACGCTATAATAGGTATACGCGTGTGAACCCGTATTAATTAGGTTAAATTGTGTGTGCACGGAATTTTTCACGTATACTCCACTTTATCAGTGTTAATATAGTAATTTCTTATTCTATAAACCAAATCACGTGTCTCGATTTTAATCACTTACTGGCTACGGACTAATATACAAGTTGATATACGAGTCACCCACACATTCCTTTTTCCGCCCTTTGACAAATATTATAATACGTTTGCCGAACACGGGCAGCTGGTAGAAAAAAGATCATAGACTCAGAATTAAATTATGACTCAAGATGGACACAGCTGACTGTAAAAGATATTATGCGCATTGTGTATGTTTTTTTTCCTTACTCCAGTCTGTTAGAATAATACAAATAATATAGGTGTATTATTTATATCAATGCACTCGTAATACCCAGTCTGGGGGAAATTAGATACGAATTATTTCCATCGGTGCGTATCAACATATATACAATAATACACACACGGTAAATATAGTCACATAAAATCGTCATACAGGTACTGTTTCAAAATCAAACAAATTATAATAACGATCGCGGATATATTATAATAAGGTTTAGCGAGGGTGTAATATTATAGTGCAGGTTTTTTTTTTTTACTATAGGTACTAATAGGTGTCTATAAATATAATATTTACTATGTATTTACGGTGTATATGTACACAAATATGTATAGTTTTATTTTTTACGATGACGATATTATACTACAATACAAACGTCATACGTAATAGCTTTTATGAGCTCCCCGAAAACGAAAAAAAAACCAAGAACCTATTATTATAATTTAAATAATGTTATTACGTCACACGACTTCATCGACATATAAAACATATTATTTTATTTTAGAAAACGAATCGCGGTGTGTCAACGGTTATTTTGAAGCATTTTCACTTTAGGTAACATGAAACAGCGAAATAAACTTAAGGTCTCTGCCAACTTGATTATTTTAGGTACCTATCTTTATTTTGAATTTTCTGTTAGGTTACATACAGTTAATAATAATACATTTATCCGACCCTTTTAAATTTAAGTACCTATCATCATTTAGAGTACTAGAGTAATTTTGTATATACTGTAAATTATTGCTAACAGTAAATGATCCTAAACGAATTTCGGTTAAATATATTTTAAACTTTCGGGATTTTTAAAATTTTCTAAAAAAATTCGAACACGTGTAAAAAAAAAAATCTTGAATTTATGATAAACCTTATGTCAAATATTTTCAAGCACTATTAGGAATAATAATTCTAGTGTGTAGAGGAGAAGGTGGAATGCATAAAGTTATTTGATTTATACCTGTAACCTGAGACACCCGAAGAAGGGAGCAAAAGAGATCATTACCCCCCCCCCAGGATTTTTAAATTTTTATACTTCTATAACGCATAATAGCATACCAATTTACCATTACAACAAAAAATATTTGTAGAATAAAATGTTTTGCCCCGGGTGGGATTTTATTCTGCAGGCACGCTTGCCTGTAACTTACGATAAACCATTGATAACTAAAAACGATTTGGAGCGAAGTTCAGTTATACTATACTTCAGGGCCTAAAATACATCCGATTTCAGGGAACACACTTCTTAGTTCAATTGTAACTTTTGACAGGTTTCCACAGAAAAAAGACCCGTGGGGATTGTAACACCTGAAATTATCCCCCCTTTTATAACCGCTTATCTTACACATTTATATTATTTATATGACGTTTGGACTAAACATATACAAAATAAATATAAGTAAAAATTCAAAATATTTTACTAATAGTTACATAAATAAACCGTCAAAATGATATTAACTATAATAAACTGTTGTCATAAATTTGAGATTATCCACATATTATATTTATAAACACAAGGTATTATTAAGGATATTCGTTAAATTCATCTTAATTCATATTAATTTATATTGAGATAAACAAGATCAAAACTAAAAACACGTTATAAAACTTGAGACACATTTATAATTCAGGAGACATTTTTTGGAAGACACAGCATACATGTTTTGAAAAGCCGAATATGTACGATTTTCATCAAAATTTAATTTTAAAACTGATATAAAATAATTACACATAATTTTTTTTTTTTTTTAACCGCTAATTACGACTTATATTGAATCTCCTATCATATTTTCAATTATTTCTGAATATCTAACAATTGTATCCACATAATACCCACCAAATAAAAATTACGTAAAAAAACTCGCAAAATTAAAATTGCAATAAATAGCTCAAAAATGGCTCAAATTTTTGAAAATTTTACCACGTCTAGGAAAAATAAGTATAAGTTTCCTGTCATAATTTCAAGTATCTTTGAACAATTCAAACTGAATTACATTTAAAAAACAAACTTTAAAGTACTAAGAAAATTATTTTCGTAAATTTTCCCTTTCTTTCCAAGTATTTTTCGATTTTGCTCAATTATTAAAAAAAAAGTACAAAGATAATCGAAAAACAACTTTTTGGATCACCAACTAGATTAAAAATTTAACAAAAAAGATCTGATGATGTTTTTCTATTGGAGCAGTATTTATGGTAAAAAACATAAGCCATACAAATTTAAAATAATGAAATCAATTTTCACAAAAGGTGTTATAATCTATACTTTGTCCAAGTTTTCTGATAGAAAAGTTGTTCACAGACAGAAAAAATACATTAACATCATAGTACAACCAATATATCCTTCGCTACGCTTCGAATCTAAAAGAGTCTAATACTGCTGATGGGTGCACCACTGTTGTAGATGAATTATCTAGTAAAATTACAGCTGAGAGAACGGGTATGTTCGTTCTCTGGTGGTTTCCTTGATAGGCCGGGTAATCTTCTTCGTTAGTCATTACCCGGCCCATCTAGATGGCACGGGCCTTTTCGTGGCGCTAGATATTAGTAACGTCGCGAATTTATTCACATCGTGAAGCTAAACACGTGCAAATTCTCGTGTAGTGACAAGTGCTGAGGCTTTTCCACCGGGGTTGCTTCCGGCGAGAAACAGGACTACGGGCCCCTTCCTCCGCCTGGTCAATCGAGGGTCTTCTCAGGTTCCGACCATTGAGTCATCCTATGTGATATTCTCGGCTGACCCACTTTCCCCTGACAACGGGGATGAGTGTCAACACATTGGTAAATGGCAAGTCGGTAGACCTCCTGGAGGCATCTGAGTAGGTTTAACCGCCTGTTCGTCCATCTCTGGATGTCGAAATATGTCCAATTCACGACATCTATGGAGAATAAGTCGGGTGGTCTCTGAGCCCCGATGACAGCCGTGGACTTGATCTGCAGTCGGTACCGTACAGTAGGCTTTGACTGCAGGGCTTATGAGTAACGCTAGATGGTGGTTAATTAACCGGAGGATACTTACCTGTCGGTGGCCGTACTGTGAACAGGCGTAGCGATAAATTGAGGAGTGATTGCTGGGAGCCACGCTTTGATGCATTGAATGCTTCTAGGGTTTTGCTCCGTGCTCCCCGTCGGCTCTTAATTAGCTCATATAGCTAAAAAAAGGTCCGACGGCTGATATTTTAAAGTCCAGTGTTTCTGTTATTTAATATATAGTTATTTAATTTATATCTGTAAACAGCGGTAAACCATTGCTAACGAAAAATGATTCAGAGCGAAATTCGTTTATATATGATTTATAAGACCATAATATTTACGATTTTCTTTAAAATTTGATCTTAAAACAAGTAACAATTTGTTTAACAGATTAATCAGATTAATAACTATTTTTTTTTTACATCATTTATCATCCAATCGGTTTTAAAATAATAAAAACATTTCTGGCATTTATAACATTTATAATACCTACTAGCCGACCCGTCACGGCTACACGCGTGATTGGTTGTTTAATTTGCCTTCGAACGATGATATATAGAATTTATTTATTCAAATTCTACCGTTTAATAATATCGGCAAGTTAATATAAAAAACCGTTGATGAAAACGTATTGAAATGTTTCAAGCGAGATTAATGACAAATATATTTTTATTAAAAATGAATACAGATACAAAAGAAATGCTGAGTAATTTATGGTTGATAAAGAATTGCATAAAACTTCTGAGTATATGACGTTTTTTGTTTTATCTCCTGTTGAAATTAAAATCATAAGATGCTTCGGGTCCCCAGTTCGAGAAAATCCCACGTATAATTGTCCATGTGAAAAGCACTGTGTTCGAAGACCTACGCCAACGTACCTGTATGTTTGACCTTGAGCTTTGTTTATCGTGATTGCCAAAGAAACTTTAACAGAGAATTAAAGCCGTTTGAACGGAAACGGCAAGTCCGACGGAATCACGGGAATTCTTGGAATAAATGCAATTTCTCCTTTTGCCGGCCCCGTAAGAATGACGGCTCCTATAACACTATTCTGCAACGATTTTATTTGTCATCTTGTACCGTTACATAACTTCGGTGGTTGAAGATTACGTAATAATGTAATTGGAGCACCAATTTTTAATTTTAGCTTATAAAGAGGAAATCCCAAAGGAGAAAGAGAATTGAGAAATTCTTGTAGATATAAATATATATATATATATAGATAGATAGATATAGATATAAATTAATACGAATATTTGGTAAACATGTTGTTGGTTTACGTGCGATAAACTTCTCGGAACAATTCATATCTACACGCCGATATCAAACACAATACAATTTGACGAACAAAAAGGTCTGGTTGCAGGTAACTGTAAACCCGCGGGCCGCCGTGCCGCACAATATGTATATAATAAAGGTATACAATTTTTCAATTTTTCAAAAACTTTGTATTTATTTTTTATTGACAAAACCTTACTACTAAAACCTTCAACAGAGTGTCGGGTATAACAGTAAAAAATTTCAGCCAAATCGGTTGAGTAGTTTTCTCGGTTAGCGCGTTCGTAGAAAACCCCTTACAATTTTATATAATAGTATATAGACAATACCTAGTTATATCTAATTATAGGATTTATTACCTATACCTTTAAATCATATGCGCCGAAAGCTGAATAATTAATTTGTTTTTCATTGATAAGGACAAAATGTGTAAGAAAACTAAATAACTTTGATGATAAACCAGTTTTTCCTCACGCTCATGTATAAAAAAATATTGTAATTTATATAACCCCCCCCCCCCAACCCCCACACACATGTGTAAAAGCTGTGCGCGCCTCTAATATATATAGAGAGAGTTATTTATGATTTATATCTGTACACAACGATAAATCTTTAATAAACTAAAAACGAAATTTTTACTAAATTCGATTAAACGCGTTTTGAAATGCCGTGATTATTACAATATTGTTGTCAAAATATTAACTTAAAACGCTTATAAAAAATTGAAAAAAAAACGTTCAAGCGGTAAATCTAGGATATAAGTACACATATTATTTTAAGTTCTGAATGTAACGATGAATACAATTATAAGTGAATCTCAGTCAAATCTTAATAATAACTAATAAGAAGTAGATAGGTAGGTGGGTACATGTATTATATCCAAGTAGTATACGGTTAACTGGAGCGACAGGCCCGGGATTGAATCATGGCTAAAATGTTAAATGGTTGAACCAGCGAACTACACAGAAAATCTCTGTATGCCACATAAATAAGTCTTAGGTTCTTGTTTTTAATTAAATTTATTCGTCGTCAATTATATTCACTTCGAGTAAAATGTTTAACCAGTTGCTCTCAAACTTAAAATGTCTATAAAAAAACTTACAAATAGCTCAAATATTTTGAAAATTTCGCAAAGTCTAGAAAAAGCAAATACTAGTTGTCTGTCCAATTTCAAGTCTCTGCGAATATTGTTAACTAAATCACAACAAAAAATTTAAATCAAAAATAACGAAATCTTTAATACCGTAAACGTACCAGTTTTTCTTACGTTTTTTCCCGGGTTATCTCAATCATTATGATAATTGGTTGGAAAATCACAAAATTACTCTTTTGGTTACCAACCAGATTAAAACTTCAACAAAAAGTTCCTTTGTTGTTTTTCGATTAGAGCAATATTTCTGGTAGAAAACATAAGTTGCAAAAATAAAAACAATGCAATCAGTAACGCCACAGTGCGCCTTAAATATTTATCGTTTTATCTATAATTTCTTTTTTTTCTGTTTTTTCCAATATATTTTAAAAACCCTTTTGAAAATCAAAAAATCACTTCACTAATGCACCAACTAGACAAACTTCTCTTTCAAAAAATTCCTACCTAATCAAAATATTGGATTTTTACATATAGGTAATACACAAAATTAAAGCAAAAACTTTAACTATATTGACTACGTAAAATAATCTATCACATTCGTAGTAGATACTTATATTAATAATATAATACACAAAAATAAAGGTATATAATCTAGTCAATCTTAGTCAACATTCAACATATTTACTCAGCCACTCATCCAACCATTTTAGTCTTGAGGCAGTTGCCTTCAAAATATCCATTTTGTCAGGCCACTGCACGTATGTTATATTTTACCGATAGACATAAACGTAACTAGAATCTGAAAATTTATAGTGCTTTTGCACAATAGGTTTTAGAAATGAGCATATAAAGATATGGTAAAAGATGGACAGTGCCTATCCTTTGTAGTATATTTTGAAAACTCAACGTGTAATAAGAAATTGCATTATAAATTAAAAATGTATGTACTCGCAATTTCTTATAAGTCGATAGTTTAAGTACATACCCAATATCAACCAACCCCCTCCTATCGACTATTAACACCAATGCCAACAGATAATCAGTAACCGAAAACAGTAAACATAGTTTTTATTCATTTGCTGATTCCGCCAGCCTATTTATCAAAAATAGCATTCAGTTTTCTAAAATATACAAAAGACAAATCACCAAAATAGTTTGTTCACTAGCAACCAGGCTGCTGAAAACTACATCGCCAAACACGCCTATTAATGTTTATTTAAAAAAGACGCGATTTTTTTTACACGAGTGGACCACTGTTGTAGGTGAAAAGTTGGGAAGGAAGAGGGGAATTTTAATGTATAACTGTAAGCAACAATAAACCATTGTTTACGAAAAAACGATTCTGAGCCGAGTTCAATTAATAGTGATGCTTTTTCAACATTATATATATATATATATATATATATATCATTTTGTGATATAATTAAATAGGCTTTACATATTTTCTTTAAGAAAATTTGATTAATGTTGTACCAATTTTTCCAGTTTTCTCATGTTTTATCTCGAATTTTTACATTTTCTGAGAAAACTCTTGAGAAAATCAAAAAATGACCTCTCTAAAGTACCTTCCTAAGTCGATTTCCTTTCAGAAAAGGTGCTACACATAGAAACTTGAGCAAGTTTTCTGGTAGAAAAATTGCACACAGAAAAAAAAAATAAAAATTTTGTAAAACTGTAAGCTTCTTTGCTCCACTAAGAATTTAAAAAAGTACTACACTTAAATATCAGAGAAAATGTCTGGTATAAATGTTGTCCATAGATAAAAAAAATAATAAAACAAAAAAATTAAAAATTATGTTTCATTTCATTGGTTTTATCTAATACACTCCTCTCTCTGCTCAGATTCTAAAAATAGAAAATGTACAATAATTATTTACTCTTTATAAGGCATCCTTTATATCCAAGTTGCCAATCAAAATTTGTTCCCTTATTTATGATAATGACAATAATATATACAACAGCATTATTGTTATTACATATAACTATGAATAAATAAAAAATAATGTGATAGCAGATATATTGCACTAGTATTGTAAGATTTAAACAGGTACAGATTTTGATTCACTTTTTTAACATATTATCTAAAATGAATACATTGTGGTACAATAAAAACAAAAATTAACAGTAGACAGCAATTTGCTATGTTCTAAAAATATTAGTCGCGTAATCATTGAACACATTTTAAGAATGTATGCAGTTATATATATAAATATTAAAAAAAAAAACAAAACAAAGATAAAAATCTATATACCAAGATCTTCTAAAACACAAATCGCTCATTATAAACTAGTATTATACAAATAATAATTAAAAATACTTTAGTAGACTATCTTCAATATTAAATTACTAGGGACTTGGCGGTAAATAAATAGATTTACCAATATTATAGCTGTTAATAACAATAATTATTGTTTGAAATATTTTATGTCGATTAAGATGCAATTCTATAAATATGTATTATTGTTTTACGTGGATTAATATTGCTAATCATTTAGCCTGACACAGCCATATCAGGTAGATCGATAATTTCAGACACAAATGACGCAACTAGGGCTGTCTGCGGTTCTTGATGAGCAAGACAAAATGGATGGTTAAGTAATTGTGAGTAATTTGGACGGCTCCGGAAATCTTTTTGCAAACTGAAATAACAAATAACTCATGAGACTGAATTTCGAAAATTTGTCTTAATTTTCAGTTAGATTACACATAAGATTAAAATATAATAAATATCAGCAACTTACCATTGACAAATAAAATCTTCAAAATATGATGTGAACATGCCAGGAGATAACCTAGGGGGTTCATCTTTAACTACTTGTTTGAGTTGCTCAAATGGTGTACCCCATGTATCGTATGGAAATTTACCAGTAGCAAGTTCTACGAGAGATATTCCTAAACTCCAAATATCACTTCGTATATCATAATTTGAAGGATTTCCGGTTGGGTCTATTCGCTCTGGCTATAAAATATACAATATAATATATTAATCTAGGCAAAGTTCCCGTACATTGTCAAAAAAATTTAAAGAAATAAAAATTTATTTACTGCCATGTAAGGTTTACATCCAGCATCAATTGTTTTTGCCACTGAATCAACTAAATATCCAGATATACCAAAATCACACATTTTTACATCACCATTACGATTAATTAAAATATTTGATGGTTTTACATCACGATGTATAACTCGCAACTGAGAATGCAAATAATGAAGAGCACTAACAACCTAGAAAAAAAAAAATTGTATTAAACATTTATTTATTTGGTATACCTAATAGATGATGATAGAATATATAGTTTTACTTAACTAAGTGATACACATTTAAGAATAAATATCAAAGATAACACACACTTTTTCAACAAAATCATTTTTCAATTAGCTTCAAGTATAGTATTTTAAGTATAACCTATTTCAATAAGAAATAATAATACAATGGATTAATTACCGCTACAGTGATAGGTCCAAGAATTTGTTCGGGAATCTTTCGTCCAAATTTATACACTTTGGCATAAAATTTGTCGAGGGACATATCCATCACTTCCATGCATATCCACACATCGCCTTCCATAAACAATGCTCCGTAAAATTGCACAGTGTGCGGGCAAGCAGATGATCGCATAGATATGTCCAGATCTGTTAACAATCGTTTCTGTTCTAGTGTGTTTACAGTGGCCGCTATCCTCTATGTACAAGCAAAAGAAAAAACTTGGTATCAAAAAGAAACACTTATACCACAGGTAAAATTACCACGGGTACGCTTACCTTAACAGCCATAATAGTGTCCGAAGGTTTATGCCTCATCTTTTCAACTATACCATAGGCACCACGTCCCAGATCGCATATTTTTTCGAGATTATTGGCTTCAACGGTGGTGGTCTGATCGCCAATCGTAATTGTACAGCGCTTGTCCAGGTTCGTTCTGTAATTTATTGAAAAATTTATTAAAAATTGACAACATCTACAGGAAACAACAGATTTAACGTTTAAAAGAATAAAAGAAGACAATATTCTAAAAAAATTAATAAGTAGGTACTTGTACTTACATTTTCGGGTTGATCGTATTGTCGTTTATTATTATGATTTTGTTTGCGGGTCTATGGCGAGGCATAGTACCTAGTAATATATCACTGTATCTACTATCAATATACGTATGTGTGACAGATGATCCCACAACAACGAAACCTAGAACAAGGCAAAACAATAATACTAACCAACTACAATTTTATTTTTTAGTTTTTACTGTTGTTGCCGGACGACAGGAGTGACGAAGTGCTCGAGTTCCCGTTATCTCATGGCGCTAAAATAACGCTATTCTTGGTCAGTCTGTGGGGGTGGTCCCCACACTGGAACACAAAATTCCACAATTCCAAATATAAAATAGTATTATAGTTATAAACGGTACGGACAGTCACACTCGATCACTCACGCGATCACTGAAACGTCTGAAACCGAAGACGACGGAACTGACGAATTTGCGTGCGCACCAGAATAATGCGTGCAGCGTTATCAATGGCGATTGGTGTTCGTGGTATCGTAAAAGTACAATATTGCGAAGACGCCGATTAACATCCATTATCAGCGCGGCCCGTATCAGTGACCTGTACAACCTTGTACAACCTCTTTGGCATCTGATAGCACGACCAACCATTACCACATTATATGCATAAAAAGAGATTCTATGGTAGACGTACTACATACGATATTATAGAGATTCTTCTCTATGATCTGACATTCCAAATAAATTTTATTTTATTCAATATTTTTTCAAATAATTTGTATGCTTCTGCGGTATAGCTAATATTACGTTAATTATTTATTTTATTGACCCATTAACCCATGGAAGACAATTCTTGTCATTTTTTTGTGCTTCATTTTATAGAGTAATATTAATCTATGTCTCTGGTTATTGATTAAATATTTATTAGATTATAAACCAATAATAAATCACACTAACAAAAAATTGTAGAAAATGAAAAAAAAAAAATTTTTAAAAAAGACCATGCCTAAACAATTTTCAATCACCAAATGGCTATTTTTATTTTTTTTAAATAAATTATAGCATAAATGCAATTTAGCTCTCAAGCGATTTTTTGGAATTTCGTTTTTTCCAAAATGTGTTTTTACGTGCTTAATATGATGGTACTTCCAAAAGTCCCTTCATTTGAAAGTTATGGACAAAAAATTACAAAATGCTAGATTTTTTAAAAAAAAATCGTGGTTATAGTTTAAAATATTAAAAATTTATATTTTTGGAATTTTTTTTTTAGACATGGTAGTAAATATATGCTTAACATTTTTGAAATCAGAATTCACCTATCGCACTTACTTTTTATGTTATTGTTAATAAACCACGCAAAACCTAATTATAATATTATTTCAATCATTTGCATATTAAAGTAACTCAAAATTGATTTTTGGACTTTTTGTTCCTTGTAATAACATAATAACATAAAGAAGTTTTTGGTGAAACCAGAATTAACTTATACTTTTTTCGATTTTTTCGAAGTATTAACTATTTCAGCCAAATGCCAAGGGGTTGTTTCTTTGACAATAATTGAAAAATTTTTATCTTGGACGTTAACTGCCAAACGTAACACATGCAAATGTGTTCATTGAAGTTGTGTTTGAAAGAAGTTAATTGAATAGACGGATATATATACGAAGATTATTAAAAGAATTCACATTTAAAAAAAAATAAATTTTAAAACTACATTAAATATTTTGTTATTTATAACAAATAATTTTATCTTATATTCGTTGCATTAATTTCACTGTGCCCCTCGAGTTTTTTTTCTTTTTTCAAAATTATTTTGGCTTCAGTAAGTAAAATAGTATAAAATAAAGTTTTATTTTTCCAAAGATAAAATGTGTTTAAAATGTTTAATGTAAGATACATTTACACATCTATGTAAAGATACATATCTATCAGAAAAAGGTAGATTTTTCCACTATTTCTTCTAAACTAAAAATCATTAGTTCCGATTTCACCAAAACTTCGTTGTAATTACACGAAATGAAAATAAGTCCCAAAAACCAATTTTGTGTAACTTTAATATGCAAATTATTGAAATAACATTATAATTAGGTTTTACATGGTTTGTTAACAATAACATAAAAAGTATAAGTGCGAGATGAATTCCGATTTGAAAATGTTAAGCATATATATAATTCCTAAAAAAAATTCCAAAAATATGAACTCTTGGTATTTTAAAATCATATAACATTTTTTCAGAAAAATCGAGCATTTTAGTGTTTTGACAATAATATACAAATGAAATATGATACTTTTTTCAAAAGTACTATTAAATTAAGAATGCAAAAAACATTTTGGAAAAAAAATTCCAAAAAGTCGTTTGGGAGCCAAACTGCATTCATTCCAAATTATATAATTAAAATTTTTTTTTAAGTTCCTCTAAAAGAAAATTAATACATTACCTGAAGCACAGAGGTATACTTATAAATAAATAAATTATTATTTCAAGCGCCAGATTATAGTGGGGTATACATTATACTGTATACCGTTTTACACAATATGAATTTTCTATCGAAATAGCCAGAGAAAAATTGCACTTACCTTTCACCTAATAAATGTGAACATCGTAAACTTCATTCATTAAAAAACCAACGACTTTAGTTACACATAATTTTAAACGTAATATTACTTAATGATTACATATTATAATAAATGAGCACTGTGAAAAAAAAAATTAACCATATACTTCATATTAGCCTTTTAGGATATTTTTCTCTATGTATGACTAGTGGTTTCGATTTTTTTTAACAAAGTATAATAACCGTTGTAATAGTGACTGTCAAGTGAATATAATTCAATTGCACGGTGGTATCCGAGTAAAAAAGAATATATAATTTACAGTTTATCAAACAACTATAAAAATTTAGTAAAATTAATTTAACGCAATAATATTTAAATCCTCAAAATCCATTGACAAACAAAAGTATTCTAATACAAAAACATAATATTACTCTGGTTACACAATAATGAATGTTATTGTTGTGAATATTTTTCGCTCAATTAGTTATAACGAAATATTACATTACAAATGGTTATTTAAAACGTCAAAAATTATATGACAAAAATAATTTAAACTAGACCTATAAAACATATACAATAATCTAACTACAATTATATTTAATTAAAACATACACAAAAGTATTCAAGTAAATCTTAATGCATATATATTTTTATTGTAACAACTTTTTTTTTTCTTTTCGTATATTTTATTGTTGTTTCATATAGATCTCGTTAATATGACACAGATCACAAAAAAAAAAAAATAATAATAATAATAATAATAAACTTAAAACACAAAAATACAAATATATACACAGATGTGAGGCGATAATAACGCAAAGGACAAAAAAATGAAAAAAGTAAAATTCACCTTAAATCTAATATACAATTTTATTATTAGACTAATAATTATAATATATATTATTATAGTTGTTTTATGATAAATATTATTTAACACCATTATTATAATAGAAAATGTTCATTAATAATTTAGACACATCAAACAAAGAAATTATTTTAATGTAATGCATAATACAGAAGTAGATACACCTAAGTAAATCTGGTCTAAATTGTTTCGAGTTCCCCGATTCCAGAAGTCAGAAGCAAGTCTACCATGCAATAGTATTAAATCTCAATTTTAATCTTAATAATTATACATACGATTAAGCTGATACAGATAATGTAGACATGGATTGAGTTAAAATTTTAAAGAGAAAAAAAATGACAACATATGTTCAATATGATTATTGATTAGTGACAATACAATGTTATATTATAATATTAAACCACCTACACAAAAATAAAACATGGATTGATAGATATCTTACGAATATAATATTAAATCATGTCCCGTGAATTTTGTATAATCTACAAATGGATACATAAATGGATACAGTCTTGCGCAAACTTGTATTTATATAAAATAAATGGATGGATCAGCGGCGCCTGTAAACAAATTAAAAACAATGTATTGATGAATTTTCACAGTAGGTATTGTTGACGGTGGCCATTTTAATCGGCTGCATAATGTGACTGATCGATATTTTCTAGGCTGACAGCAAACGCACAGATGGTCTCGCTCACCTTTAACACTAACTTAAACTAAGTTTTAAAATATCTAAGCCCTGTGATTTGTATTCTACTTTAAATACACCTTATTACATAAGCTAGTTTATTAGTGTGGAATTTTTTATTATATACAGTTGTTTAAATAAATTTTAATATTAAATCAATGAAGGAATATAGAGAACAAAATAATTAAAACGATAAATACTATCTATAACTGATACTTTTTAGTATGTTTAGATTTGTCACAAGACATTAGAAAAAAAATTAAGACTAATATAGTGATCAAAACAAATTAGTTTTGAACTTCTCATGATTTTGTAAAAAAGTAAAAATAAAAAGGGAATAAAATAATTAACCACATATCATAGTTATAATAATACAATTAGTGTTGCGTGATGGTTATTATGAAATGATAAAATTGACCTTTAACTGATAAATAATTCAAATAAATATTACCAAAAAAAAATATATATAGCGAACTAAGTAAATATATAAATAGTACTTTAGCTGTGAATACAATTTAAAACTAACTTACTTACTGAATTATATTTTATATCAGTAAACATTCTTATAAAATATGTATTCATTTTAAAAACAGAAATATTAATTCTAAGGGACATTTTATTAATATCTAAAAAAAAAAAAAAAAACAACTAATTATGTGGTACATATCAGTCTGTTACATATTATATAGTATATATTGTGATTTTATAAATTATCACTTAATAACACGAAACCTGGTATTAGTTAATATGTCTAATAATTTCCTAAAGTATTAAATATTTTAACTATTTTGGTTTAAGTTATAAATAATATATTATATTTAAAAATGATGCAATATATTTAAAAAATTCTTATTTAGAAATAGTGTCACAATATTTTCATAAACCCAATGATAATTTTCATGTAATATTTTCACCTCGCCATAAAATACTTTCAAAAACGTTTTAAATTTTTAAGTTATAAATTATACAATAATAATTCACAAATAAACAATTATACGATAATAAAAATAATAATTTTTATGAAACATAAAATATAATAGTCTAAATAAATACAATAATAAAATTTGTTTAACAATAATTTAACCCACTCAAAACTTTAATTAAAATAATAAACCCTAAACTTAAAAACTATTTTTTACTATCCAATTTCAATATAACAAAGAAAAATGTATTATTCTATAATAATTTAAATATAAAATATATTTCCGTTTCCTATCACTATTATTTTTGTTTACTTTCTGTCAATACAATATAATATATTAGTTACCAATAATAAATGATCCTATTAAAAACGTAAGACAATAAACACTTGGCAATTCAACAAAATAATCAACATCATAAAATTAAGTGTGATTCTTAATTTTAATATATTAATACCACAGAATAAAATAATTGAACATTTGTATACCAATATATGATAGATAATGTAGAAAACACAATTTAATAAAACATAATATGTTTTAAACATTTTATTTAATCATACTTTATACATTCTAATATCCTAATTTATTAAAATGTAAAACCATTTTTTGTCAAATAAAATATTATTTCTCAAAAATTTAATTGAACTGAAATAAATGAAATAATATAACCCACTTTATGCACTTGCATGTTAATAGTATGATTGTTCCAGTAATATCTGGTTGATATCCCTAAATGATGTAATCATTAAAACTTTTATAGATACATCAAAATATTGTATGTTTTACTTATGTGAACTTATTCACTTTTGACTTTCATTGTTTACCTAAATAAAACAATTGACAATATTTTAAACACCAATGATAAGTAAAATAGTGTTCAAATTATAAATCAGCCACACCAACCATGTAATGAGGGTAATAATTTAAAAAATAAATAATTGTTTTTGTTTTACTTATATTTGGACTTGTAACAAAAATAAAATAATGTATAGATATTATTCACATGAAATTATGTACATAATGCAATCTATTTTATACATATATACACATTAATTGACGTATGAATGAAAAATAGAAAAATAATTATGGACTGAAACGTAAAAACATTGAAAAATGTTTGATAGTAGACATAAATTCTAAGTACCCTAAACTGGTGATCAAATGTAATTCTTAGAATTAACAATCAAAATAAAATTTTAAATGTTGAAACTTTCAATACAAAATTTAATCTTGACTATGCATTTAAAACATAAAAAAAAAAGCTTTGTTTAATATATATCTATTAATAAGTTTTTAACATGATCAATTATATAAATTTATAAATAGCAAGCTAAATAAATTACCCAATTGTAAAGAATACAATTTTTAAAAAAACGAATTAAACTATGAAGCTTTTTAAAACCTATGGTGGAAAGAACATAATAGAAACTCATGAACAAATTATAAAACTATTTAATACCCATTTAGAAAATAATTGCTATCCGTTAAAGATTCATTAACATATTGAGCACCATGAAATCCAAATGGTGATCTCACATATCTTTGATCAAAGCACCATAATATTTTTGTCATGGGTAAAACATATAATTTTGAAAAAAAAAAAAAAAAAGATAACAAAAAAAATAAAGAATTGATTATATAAAAATAGTAGTTATATAACCTACAACCATTACACTAAATATCAAAATAAAGTTGTAACTCTTTATATTATGAATCAAATGAAAAAATTCCCATTACTGAATATCACAATTAAAATCTTAAATCAAAGACATTATGAAATCAACAAAAACATGGTTTTTACTACAAATTGTTTGAAATGTTTATGAACTTCGTTCATATAGCAAAATAAAATAACCATGTCAAAAACTCCTAGGCGCTCAACGTGTCAATAAATAATTGTTTGTAAAATAATAATAAAAACATAACATAGTGAATGATTATTGCACACTCAGGGCGCAGGCATAATTTAAATTATAAAAAAATTGATGGAATTAGTATTATCTATAATTTGTCTTAAACATTAAAATGTTTTTATATGTATATATTTATATACATATACAAATCTTAGACTAATCAATTTAACAAAAATGCATGCAAAAAATAAAATTCTTAATAATACCTTAATATAAACCTAACCTAATTATTCATTTGTGTTTTAATTTAGGATAACACATTTATTCCTAATACAACAATTATTTATTCATAGGAACAAATATTAAATTGTATTTAAGGTTACATATTCAATATATATTTTTTTTTTTATCACAGGTCATATATCACAGTTATAGATTATAGATGCTCTTAGCCATCTATCAAGTGTATAAAACAAAAATTTAATCAGCCTTATACTTAAAACTAAAAAGGATAGTTTTAATTCTCATTTTATAAACAATAATTCATTAAAATTATATGAATTTTAATTAGGAAAGACCATCAAATAAAACATAAAATTGAACTTATAATAAAAATAATAAACAACCAATGAAAATTAAAAAAAAAAAAAGATTTGAAATTTGTTCAAAATCTATTTAAAAATTTAACAAACTAAAAAAAATAAACATCAGTTGTCTAGCTTATAATACTTACAATCAACAAATACTTACCACAGATGTATTAATGTCTAGAACTACGATGTGAAGATTCAGCTCTGTCTTCCCTACGATCTCTGTCACGTTCAATATCTCTGTCTGGATCTACTGCTCTTCTACTAGAAGTTGGTTCTCTTTCACGCTCACGTTCACGATCACGGTCACGTTCTCTGTCACGTTCTCGATAACGATCTTCATAGTACCTAGAAAAAGACATAAATTTAAAAACAGAACAATAATATATTTCAAAAACACACAAGTCTATAAACTATTTATTACAATAAATATTATCATGTGTGTTTTTTTTTTTTTTTTTTTTTTTTTTTTTTTTTTGTTTTTGTTTTTGTTTTTTAACTTTTTTAGGATACTTGATGAAAGGAACTGAAGATTGGGTAATATTACCTGGATTTAGAGGATACAGGAACAGACTCATTAACGTCGGGCGGAGTGATTTTCCTACTTCGGCCGCTTGCTTTTACAGAACTGTTAAACAATAAACTTTACCCTCAACAAGTATGGAAATTTCAAAAGTACAAAGAATTCTATGAAGAATAAATTGTTCATGCATTTTAAAAATGATTCTAGAATCTTACCTGTCTTCACGACTCCTCTCTCTGTATTCGCGATCTCTTTCTCTTTCCCTATCTCTGTCACCATCCCGTTCCGAAGTATAATAACGGTCAACGTACCTGTTAACATATCTATGTTATGGTAACATAATAAATTCTTTTGCCTTGTATATAGCCTTTATTATATATAGGCCACATCTTAAGTTATAGTATAATTGAGAAATATTATGCAACCAAAGTTATGTTTTTAATATAATAATATTCTAGTCTATTACTGAACTAGTTAAATACAGTTAAATGTAATATTCGTGGTTCCGGTTAACAATTTGGCCAAATTAAGTAGACCACATTTTAACAATAAAAAGCTATAGACTTGTTGTTAACAAATATTAATACAAAACAAAACAATTATCATACTTGTCACGATCTCTTTCCCTTTCACGATCACGATCACGTTCACGGCTTCTATCTCTATAGTCTCGTTCACGAGACCTAGTACGTTCACGTCTTGATCTTCTATGCAAGCGGTCACGAGGAGATCTTGACCTCTCTACAAATAAAAAAAATACAGAAAAAATAAACAAAATACAGTGTAAATGGTATAAACGTACCTCTTCTAGAACTATAACTCTTTGTTTCAATTCCATGTAGTGTATCGTGCAAAGAACTCACTAAAATTTTACACCGTTCATCGCTGGCCACCTTAGATTGTTTAATCAATGATATTGCAGTAACCAAAGTTTCAATAGCATTAGAGAATTCGCCAGCAGCAGCATCAGCAACTGCTCTTGCTATAGCAGAACTTGAAACAGTTCGGTTTCTGCTCATAATTTCTTCCAGTTCTTGTTCAGGCATTCCCATTTCATTACTCATATAAGGTCTAGAAGAAGGTCCATTGGGAGGACCATAACCAGGATGACCTGGTGGTCCCTGAGGTGCACCACTTGGTGTTGTGAAGAACGCGGGATTAACGTGTGGTGCAGGTGCTGGACCTGGACCTCCCTGCATCATTTGAACTGGACCTAAAAATGATCATATAATTTTTAATTAGATATAGATATACAATTTAATCACATTTAGCATAAAATGATACACAATATTATTGTATATTAATTAATTGGAAAATAATTTCCATACTGTTAAGTATAAAATATTACCCAAAACATAAAAATATATATTGTTCACTAAGTTTAAGGGAGTAAATACTAACCTTGACCAGGTGGAGGACCTTGCATTGGACCTGGTTGATGAGATGGAAAACCAGTACCAGGGGGAGCCATTTGATGAGTAGGCATTCCAGGAGGACGATTCCAATCACCACGTGGTCCGCCGGGTCCTGGAGGTCCCTGAGGACCTTGTGGTGGTCCCATTCGTGGTGGACCTTGACCGGGTGGGAACTGAAAATATTTCCATCAGTTACAAAAATTTTATCAACAAGGAAATTAAAATTAAATTACCATTCCAGGAGGTGGTCCTCTAGGCTGGCCCACTGGTCCTTGAGGCTGCATTCCTTGTCTTGGGGGCCCTAAGTAATGATATCAAACCAAATTTATTTTAATATAATAATAAAACAGAATAGATATGAAAAATGTAAATAAATTGTAATTGTTACCCATTTGTTGATTAGGTCCATTCCATTGGTTTTGATAACCAGGAGGACCGGGAGGACCCGGTTGATGAAGACCCATAGGCCCACCTGGTTGCAATGGCATCCTATGTCCGTTAGTCATACCCATTGGTGGCTGCATACCTTGCGGTGGTTGTTGCATACCTTGCATTCCTTGCATTCTGTTCCGCATTCCTTGCTGTTGCATCATACCTTGTGGCTGTGACATCATTGGACCACCACGCATGGGTTGCTGCATTACTTGTCCACCCGGCGGTCTAGTCATTCCACCCATAGTAGGCATATTTTGATTATTTGGTGGAGGTGGTGGTCGAGTTTTAGATTGCGATTCAAACTAAAAACAATACAAATAATATAATATAAATTGTTTAATAATAATAAACAATAACTTATAAATTAATGTAAAATTACCTGTAAAAGAGCTTGTTTAGTTGGAAAAGTGACAACAGGCGATTGTCCATGGAGTTCTTTTTTGGGCAATCTTTCCATAACCAAGCGTAAACTATGCTCTGAACCCAATGTAACAACACAAAAACCTTTGGATTGACCATTTCCTCGATTTTCAAAAAACTTGACCTCAATAAAATCTGCCACACCGATGCTTATAACACTGTCTGTTATATCTTGATCAGTTGTCCACTTTTAATAAAATATAATATGTAAGGTTAGTTTTAAAAAAATATACAGGATGATCTCTATGTGGTTACACTTGATATTTCTAATAGTATTGATTTTTATTTTTTTTACCCTTGTTTTTTTGTTTTATTTTTAAAAAGACTACTTAGTTCATATTTTCAACCTACCTATATTAAAAACTATATAAAAAGATAATAATTCAGACACATTTTCATGTTAAAATTTTTGATTTCCTTTAACCTACGAATAATAATAATTTTTTTTTATTAAAAAAGAATATGTACAATCTATGCTTGGAGGCATAATAAGCAGATATATTTATATGTATACAAAAAAAAAAAACTTATATGAGGAAGAAGGCCATCCGTTGATAGAACTTAACGTTATTTTTTTTAATTTCATTTAACCAACCAGCAAGTTAAGAAACCTTTTTTTTTGAAGTCATCAAATGGGATTATCAGGAAGTGAATTAGAAGCAAGTTCAGCGAGTATTTCAGTGTGACTCGCTGTTTGGAATGATATTGTTTGTTTTGAAACAATAATACAGCCAGCAAAAGTAGAGGTGTAACTGTCGTGCACATGGTTGCTTTTATTGTGCAATCCATAGGTTCTAAATATTCCAATGTTTATGCGAGTCGCATCACGCTTATAACGAATAGTTGATATAGCTGTATTTCAGCCGTTATAAAAAGAACTTTGATTATCCTTACTAAATGTATATTATATAGATATATATTATAAACAATATATATAATATAGAACCTAATCTAACCTAACCAATCGTAGAAACCCTAATGAATATTTGCCACCATGTGCGTGACTGTCCGGCTTCTAGTTCTGCTGGCCGTACTATAGTTGGTTTACTAATTTTAAAGTCTTTATGCAGAGTGAAGTTTAAAATGTACCATGGAACAGAAGAGACATCACAGAGAGCAATATTTTGAAGGATTGTAGTGTATGAATTTAGGATGGCTTAGCACATTCCCAAAAAGGTCTTAATAGGGATTTGTGAACAGTAATCTTAGTATGGAGGACTAGTTTTGAGTTTAGTACAAGTCGGACTGTTGTCAACTATTGAGATTTTTTTTTTTGGATTTAATGTGGGACTCCAAATCAATCTTTTGTCAAGAAGGATACCATGACATTTACTTCACACATTGTCGAAATTGGTATTTCTTGAAATTGGAGATAAGGTAGTATAGATTTTTTTAGCGTGAATGGGATATAAAGACAAAGAAATAGTAGAATATCATATTTCGTCTGTGAATTAAAGGAAATCCAAAATCTTAAGACTTTTAATTAAACTAATATGTCGTTTATTATTGGAATTTATAATACAGATTGCCATTTGAAAATCAAAAGTAGGAAGTTGTTTCACCCCCAAAGTATGTTAGTTTAACATTTTATAACTGATTGTTTCTTAAATTCAAAAAAAAAATTAAATTTAAAAAGTAAACACTTTGAATTATCTAATCAAGCCACTTAAATATATCGCTATATATATATATATATATCTTTTTACCACTCTCTCATTAACTGCCTAATTTGTATTATTATAACACATAATAACAATGAAAAAATGAAATAACATTTTTTACTTACCCAAGTTAAATTACCAATATACAATTGGTAACGACGCCCAGGAGTAGAGTTATTACTTATATTATTAGATGAGCCATTGGTCACTAATGGAGTGCTATTTTGATTATTCACACTAGGAGGCCTATCGACTGGCTGTCTTGTCTGAACACTATCATTGGTCCCAGATATAACATCGTCATATAAATCAACATTGTCATTTCCAGCAAAATCTTCCTAAAATAAAAACCAAACATAATAACTATTAGTAATTTATCATAATAAAAACGTAAATTAAACATCATAACCAAAATTTGTAGGATAAAAATAAATATAAATACTGAAAATAATAATGTAATTAATTTACTTAGGTAGTAAATATTAAAATCACGAATACTGTAATAAATATTCAATTTTTTCTAATACTTAAGAACATTATCTTAAACTATAATTTAGTAACAACCCACATGATGCAAAAGTCTAATTTTAATGAATAAAAAAAATATTGGAATATATGGTATACAGTCTGATAAAGATAATTTGTAATCAAATATAAATTTATATTAATGGGAGGAGGTTTCATAGAGATTACAATAATCTAACCTAATTGATATTTTTATCAACATAGAATACATAGGTTTTACTATTAAGTTAATTTTTTTTTTTTTTGTGAGTATGTGAGTTTTTTTTGAAATACCTATTGCTCAAATTATAAATTGACAAAAAAACTTTTTTGCAGCATTTTGGTTCTAATTTGGTACTTGGAGAAGTTGTTTTTTGATCTTCTACGTAATATCCTTTCTCTCCATAGTTTCAATCCATTGATTGATTTGTAGCTATCTTTCACTTTATTCTACTATCAATTTGTTTTTTATCTGTACATATAAATCACATCCTTGTTTCTTTATTAATTTGTTGGATTAATTCCAGTCTTTGACTTCTTACTATGATTGAATTAGCTTTAATAATCTCTCATGTCGTATCATATAAACTATCCATTCAGTCGGCTTAATATAACAATTTTCCAAAATTTTCTTTATAACAAGGAAAAATCAGGAAATTTTACGGTGTTAATGGTTTCATTATTTTCGATTTTTATTTATTTTACCTTCAGTTAAAAATAATCATACGCTTGAAATTTTCATAGAATACAAGTATATTAGACTTTACTAGGCACCAAAAAATGCTGAATGTTAGAAAATTCTAGAAATTTTTGTACTATTATTAGGGATCTGACATTCTTAAGTTATTTTCGTTATTAGGTTTTAGGTGATTAAAATTGTTTGCTCAAACAGAAATGATTAAAAATTTAATATGAGATTCAATATAAATATTACTTATGATATTTTCGATTTGACAAAAAAAATGTATATTCCATTGAATAATAATGAGTATTTTCACTGACAAGCATACCATTCATGCCAATGTGTAAAATAAATTTGACTGATGTTATCAGAACATTATTGTTATGATAATATAACAATATTTTACCCCAATAATTGACGTTTTATAATTTACCTAAACCTAATACTTAGTAGCTATTAAAAAAGCAATTTCTCAGTGTTGATTATTAATAAATGTTGACTCATTGATGAAGAAACAGAGTTAATATTTGTTATCACACAATAAAAATTTGTAATGATACACAAGATATATGATTAAATATACCTAAATGCAAGAGTGCACACTTATTGTCAAATTGATAGACTCACAATTCATACCGTTAATGGTAAACAAAAACTTGAGTTCAATGTAGTAAATCAGCAATGATTTATTATTATATACAGGTATAAATTACATGCATAAACTTCATATCGTACCTTCTTAACTTCCTACCTACATCAGTGGCACACCCATCAGCGGTATCTATCAGCTTTTAAGCATTTAACTAGGTTTGAATAGTAAATAAAACAGCTTTAAAAACTAAATTTATTCAATTATCATAATAAATAAAAATCAATAAAATAGTTACTCAGAATAGAATAAAATAACATTAAAAATTCCTTATTAGGTATAATTCGGTAATACATCATTTTACAATATAATCTGGAAATTATAACATGTTTGATTTTAGAGAATTTATAGTTGGTCGATTAATAAATATTGATCTGCTCATGTCAAGTAGCCCTTCAAAACTAGAATAAATGTAACCATATGGTAATAAAATAAATAAATAATCACTTTTTCTTAAAACTACCTATTTTAATATCAAGAATATTTTTTAAATATTAATACCAAATGTATTAAAAACATTATCAACAAACCAAAATCCATAAGTTTAAACTTATATATAATTAAATATTATAGGTAAACCAGTACAAGAGCAAAATAACAAAAAAAAAAAACAAAACACCTATGTACTAGTAATAGTTTCAACTATTTAGTTCATAAAATTAGAAAAGAACATATTGATACGGAAGCTATTTACAGTTATTACCAATCCATAGATAAAATATATGAGTAAACAAAAAAAAACTTAATGATAAATTTTTTTCAGTTTAAAAGTGAGATTTGAGTATTGTGTCAAAACAATAGAACTTGATTGAATTTCAAATAAACAATGGCAAACAGATTTGAAGTACAAAACTAATGAAGGTCTGTGGATCTAACATTTTATTGGAATACAAATTGCATGAGAATGTGAATCACTGCCTTGTGAACGGTAGATACTAGTCAAATAAATGTAGGCTTTGTCATACACTTCGTTTTCGAAAATCGTCGACGGAAAGCAGATTAAACTTAAAAAGCGCCCACATAACAACTATTTCACGAACAGTCCCGTATAGGGTTGTGAAATCTGAATAGAAGGTACGCGAGTCGGGAGAACCAGACGTCTTCACGGCTACGCTTTCGGTGCCGGAAGTCCTGCTAAAGTTGAGCGAAATCGGGGCAGCTCGGGAACCTAGTAAGCGTCCCAGTCTCCAGGCTCTGTACGTACGCACGCACGCCCGCCCGCCCGTCATGCATCCAAACATGGCCGAACGTCTAGCGGTAACCTGTACACGGTGTTCGATACGCGCGCACCAAACATACATATGTATCGTAAACATTACCTGAGCAAAGTCTTGTTCCAAATCATCGGCGTACAAATCAATGTCCACGCCGTCGGCCATTTTTGTCATATTATTCGGTCGGGACGCTGTGGAACCACGACGATACGACGACGACGACACGCGCACACGGAACCGCGCACACTATCCGATGGCGGAGACGGTAGACGGGGGGCCGGGGAGGACGCCGGGCGCGGAGATTTTCGTTGTTTACAAGGGACGATACGGATGGCTAGACGGATGGTGGTGTAGCGGCAGGTGGTGAATGATTCTTGGTGTGTATGTATGTGAAGGTGTGTATTTCGAGTCGCCGCCGATTATACAGTGCTGACACGGGTCGGGGGAGAAAAATTATCGGTTAGACGAATCCCTCGGTCTGATTTTTATAATCGTCATTATTTTAAAAAGAATAATGGATTTTCATTATTGCGAATTTGTGATTACGAGTTGCTCAGCCCGTAGAAAAGAGATATGATCGCTGTGTAATTTTATTGGTATGGCATTAATTTGGCTTTTTACTACAGTACACAATTTACAGTGTGTGGGCGCAATGCACAAGTACGCCAGTTACTGATTACCATCGATTACGGTTACCACATTCATGGAAAAAAAAAACCGACGGTAGTCAACCGCGCCAAATATTCAAAGACGACACAACTAATTTAAATTTTTTCAAATAAATACAACAACATTTGATATTAATTTATCTCAGGCAATCAACTTATTACTATTGTTCAACAACTAAACATTCTAAATGGTAAATAGATACCAAAAACAAATTTTAGTTTGTTATTTAAAATTATTTTTAAATTTAGACAGAAATAGTGACTACAATTCATCTCTTCTTAATCTTTATAATTTTATTAAATTCATAATATGAATATCTTATATACTATACAAGTAACTATGTAAGAATCTAAATTTATCTGTGCATCATAATCATTTATTTTGTTTAATATGAAGAATAATAGTAACAATAGTAATACAGGTACGAAATAAAATTTGCATGCAAACTTACCTATATTTTTTTACATTCAGAAAAAATAATGTATTGATTCTATATTATTTGTTTTTCGATTCTAAACGTACCTCATAGGTGCAAATAACCCACATTTTTGAAGGGAAAATTCTAAGATAATAGAAAAAGAGCTGGAGACGGGTACAGTAACTTTTGCTGGTAGATAGCTGGGAAGGTAGGATGTATCAAGCATGACAAATTAGATATTAATACATTAATTTGTCATGGTATCAAGTATCATTTAGGTGGCGATACGTTGAGCGGTGTGTTAATAACGCATCACTACTCTCCTCAAACCTAAAATTAAAAGTGGAATATCTCGTCAACGGCTTGACAGAAATCAAAAATCTATGTATGGAATTTTTAATAAAGGTTGCCATTTTAAAATCAAAAAATAGGTAGTGGTATTACCCCCAAAAATTAGAATGACACAAAAATAACATAAGTATAAAATTACAGAGCAGCATGTTTCTTAAAAGTACAAAAAAAAAATTCCGAAAAAGTACATACTTTCCGAAATAATGAGTTTAATAAGGTTTTTCTACAGATTTTTCGGTTTTGCTCAATTATTAATAAAAATTCAAAGAAAATAAAAAAAAGCGAATTTCTACGTCACCAATTAGATTAAAAAATTTAACAAAAAAGGTCTCTTGTTGTTTTTCTATTGAAACAATATTCATGGTAAAAAAACATAAGTCGTACAAATTTAAGATAATGAAATCGTGCCCAAATTTCAAAAAATCGTATATTTTGATTTTTCCCAATTATTATAAAAATATTTTAAACATCAAAAAACGACTTTCTTTATAAGTGGCTATAATATGTTAATAGGAACAAAATCGATCTCTTGTTATTTTTTGATCAGAGCAATATTTCCGGTAGAAAACATAAGTTGCAAAAATAAAAACAATGAAATCGGTAACGCTGCAGTGCGCCGTAAATATTTGCCGTTTTACCAATAATATTCTTTCGGATTTTTCCCAATTATTTCGAAAACCCATTGGAAAATAGAAAAATGTCCTCATTGCACCAACTAAAGAAAATTACCTTTTAGAAAACGAGCTAGAGTCTATAGTCTCTCTTTTCGGAACAAGTTTTCTGATTAAAAAGTTATTTACAATAAAAAAAAAATATACTAATCACAGTAAAACAATAGATCCTTCGCTACAAAAATTCAAAATATTATAAGTACAGAGAATTCATTTAACGGAAAATACTCTTTATTACGCAGAATATTCTTGTTTGAAAAATGTTGTTTTTTTCAATTTAAAAAACAAGTTGCTCTTTAATGTTACCTTACCGACTTTTCAAATGCCAGTTTATTTCTTGAAAATTGAACTTGTTCTTGTCCAGTTTACACAATATGAACGTGTTCTTTCCCATCACTGGTTATTTGTTGTAAATTCATAATACAGGTAAAATTAATTAATTGTGTAAGTAAAACATATTTCAATTATTGAAAATCTCATTCTTGTTTACTAAATCTTCATTGTTTCTACTGTAAGTTACGTATTATAAATTATAACAAACATCTATGAACTATGTTATTGAAAATGTCAAGTTTCTAACACTTAAGAAGGCACTACACCTGTATCTATTATCTAATAGTCAACTTATCAAAATTATGTTACTAAATATTACATAAATTGTAACTTCTCTATTCATATAAGAATTTAAACACAAAACAAAATTTCAAGAGAATACTTTCAATGCCTGTACGGAGGTTAATCTAACAAATATACTTACAAAAAAGTATCTACAAATATTTTTAATTGAATCATAACAAATAATAAAAAATGTAGTTGATACTGGGAAACGGTGCAACCACTATTGTAGGTGAGAAGTTGGGAATGTAGTATATATAAAGTTAATTAATTTATATCTGTACGCCAACCATTTCTAACAAATAATTATTCAGGGCAAAGGTAATACATTTTTTTTTTAATTTTAGAGCAAATTGTTTCTTAAATTTTCAAAAAAAAAAAATGTATAAGACAAGAGAGAAAATCACCACTTCCAATCCCCTTAAACACAATAACATTATACATAATGTTATTATTGATGTACACAGATATCTATAAATAAATTAATATTGTGATTTTGTGAACTATAAAAGTACTTTGAGTTTTCTTTTTAAATTATCATCTACCTTTATAAAGGTTTTTTTTTTTTTTGGAGTTTACCAAACTTCAAACAGTACCTTAATACTGGTGTTAATGTTGAAATACATCCATAGATAAATTTAATCAAAATCTAACGATTTTATCTTTTATTAAAATAAAAGTATTCCCTTTTTTCTTTATGAGAATATAAAAAAATAAAATAAAATAAAACACACAAGTTCATGTCCTGAATTAATTATTTGAGTAATATATTTATTACATTCTTAATTTAATTAAGTTGCCAAACACAAATGCAAAAGAGGAATAAGTATGGGATTTTTCTCATCTGGCATTAGAACAACACCCTCGCTGCCTTCAATTGCCAACATATTACCTGTCCTATCTCTATATGAACCACATAAAACTTTCACATGATCCTTGGATTTAGGCATTATTGGTTCCAAATTATCATTTTCAATTGTTACTACACGTTCTTCTTCTGGCAAATAAACACTACAAGTTGCTTCACTAACATCTCTAATAATTCCACTTTGTCCAGCTAAATCTGAATCAGTGATACGGACAAAAATATCTGTTGTCTGCCATCCTGGTGGTAAACCTATTAACCATTTATTATTATTTATTAATAAAACTCATATAAATTAACTAGTACAGTTAATAATACTTCAAAATTGTTTATTTACCAAATGATGTTAGTGAAGGAGCAGCAAGTCCTGGAGAAGATACAGAAGACGAAGACATTAAACTTGCATATGAACCCGATGGTGACGGAACTTGATGATACTGTATACTGCGAGGGCTAGCAGTATTTATTGGACTTGGAGTATTGATATATGAATTACTACCTGTAATGGATGTAATAATGAAAATTATTTTATTAACAAGAAATACATATTAGAGATGTGTCACTGTTTGAACTCAATTACTTAAATTTTGAACCGAACCAAACTCGGGGAAAACTATTCAAAATGCTGAATATTCATATTACTGATAATTAATAAGATAAGCAATTTAAAAAATCCAACATTTATTTTATGTGTCCAAATACACAGGTAGGTATATTATGATAAATCGTATATAATCTATAAATATTAAATACAAATCAATTATTTTATCATGAACTAGCTTAAAGTTTATGCTGGAGTAGTTACCAATTTACCATTTAAAAATAGATATATAATTTACTACCCTCACCTACTCTTCCGGTCTAATAATAATTAATAACAATATATTACGCCATTATAAAGTTGTAAAAAGTATATAACAAAGTTTAGACTAAAATATGAAATATAACTAAATGTTTTAAAACAACTTATTATAAATTGACACCCCCTCCTCAAAAAAGGCTTATTCTCTAGGTGAAAGAATTAAAAAAGTTAATAGTTGAAACTTATAAATTATACTAAATTTTACAACTGTGATAATTTTTAAATGGCAAACCTGATATAAGTGTTATGCTTTATAAATATCAACATGTCTAAAATAACATTTTTTTTTTTCGAATCTGTGTTCAATAATGGGGGTTTCTATTTGAAAACTAAAAGTATATGCTAATTTAAGGTATATGAAATAAGGATACAAATTAAAAATTGTTTTTAAAAAAAAATTGGTTAACACGATACCAAAAATCGAAGAAAAATTGTTCACAAGAAAAAAGGCTGTAATTTTTTTTTCTTCAACTAATACCTATATTTCATAAAATTTTCCGGTATTTTCCAATTTGCTGGGAAAATTCATAGGAAAATCGAAAAATGACGTCTCTAAAGTACCTACCAAGTCAGATTTTCTTTTAGAAAATGCTATAATTTATTGTAAAACGGATCAAAATTGCTGATAGAAAAGTTGTCCACAGAAAAACAAAAATAAACATCTTTGTAATATCATAAGCTTCTTCGCTCCATCCACTCAAATCTAAAAATCACTTTGTATAAATGATATTATTTGACTGATTAAAAAAAAATTAATACACAGCCTGAACATTATAAATAATACTAAAATATTTTAAGTTCGAGTTAGGTTTGAATATAAAAAGTTCAGTTCGGCTACAAAATTTTTGAGTTCGACTAATCTCTGATATTAATATTAATTAACTGTTATATTCTCCACCTCTAGATGGTGATATTCCTTGATATGGTGAATAAGAATGATCAGAAGAACCATATAATGTATTTGGAGTTTGTGCAAAAGGAGTACCAGGATCCATTGGATATTCTAAATCATTATCGGTCACTCTAGCTGGAGTATACCCAGCAGCTGGATCCCAAGCTTGTGTAGGTGTTTTTGAACCATCGTGTGATGGAGTTGTGCTTCCAAAATGAGGTGTACGATTGCCAACTTCGTAGTTTGGCGTCATTGAGCCTTGTACAGGAGTCTTGCCTCCTTCGCGATATCCAGGGGTCATCATAGAATTGACTGGAGTTCTTGAGTATGAAGATGTCAATCTACCATCCTTAGATTGTTGTCCAACAATTGTTATGTTTCTTCTATCCACCGATATTGTTTGACAAGAAGAATGAAGTTCAACTCTGGCAGTACACTCTGTGGCATCTTTTACAATACCAACAGCTCCTTTGTAAGGGCCGCCAGTAATTCTAATTGTTTGGCCAATTAAATCTCTATCTCTTCTAACACCACTAAATCTACCTCCTGCCCCTCCTCCACGGCCACCACTTCCACCTCCTCCACCACCACCAAATGGACTACCTGGTGTGTGACGTGGTGATGTAATTTGCGGTGATGCAAATCCATTTTGTGGTGCAGTTATAGCTTGCTTAATTGTATAAAAATATATAAAATTAAAATTGATCAGGATAAAACAAAGAATTATATTATATTATATTACTTTATTTGTTGAATTTCCAGCTAATGCAATGTGTCTTAAACGACAAACAAAAATTCCACCATTATCAGTCATTAAACGAGAATATAAAAAGGCATGGTGCCGGTACAAATGTTTGATTTCACCATGCATCCCCTATATATGATATCAATTTTCAACATAAAAATAATCTATATGGTTTAAAATAAAAATACCGTATGTGGACCGTCAATAACTTTAACAATATCTCTTCTCTGTATTGAATTTCCCAAAGCATCAACTCCAATTGTATTCCTATGCTCTTTTTTTTTATTAAGAGATTGTGGTTTAGCTTCAACCAATTTTCCAGCCATATTTAAAATATGCATTTTTTCACGCTCGATTCTCACAATCACTCCAACATTTTGTGGACTAATAATAATTAATATAATATAAATGTATAATTGAATTACAAATTTAGATTTAAAAATTCTAAGCTAAGTAAATTTAAATACACACTCTAATTGCACGAGATCTCCCCATTGAAATTGTCCAAGTGAATCAACACCAGAAGCCATGTCTGAACACAATTGCAAGTCACGAGGTAAAACTTCAAGTTCGTGCATTGTAACATCTGAGAATAGTACAATACGATTTTGTTCAACACGAACAATGAGTCCTGTATCACCTTCATAACGTCCTCCTACTACTCTTACGTGATCACCTTGTTTGAAAAATTTACGCAATTCACTTGCCATAAATTCTAGTGGCAACTAATTTTATAATGTACACATATACTATCATGAATATAGAAATTGATATTTATATTATTTATTGTTACTCACTTTGAGATCATCATGTTTAGGCATAATAGTAACCATATCACCATCAATTGATAATACTTTTCCTTGTAAATTAATTAACTCTCCAGAACACACTTCAACATTATCCCCAGAACTCAACGACTGACTGTTAGCAGAATTGTCTTTATTGGATACGGGCAATTCTATATCTATGCCTTCAGGGGCTTCTTCAAACTTTTCAAGCTCAGAGAGAGTAGGTTTGATACCATCAGCAGTTATTGCATTGATATAAAAGTTTTTGTATAAAAATCCTTTACGGCTGTAACGGTTCCCTTCAAATATTAAAAAATCACCATCACTAGTAACTTCACCACCAATAGCTCTGATTGCTTCTGGATCAAATGGTTTGGCTGCAGGACGTCTTTTTTTTTTCCTTTTTAAAGCTTCTGAGTCCTACAAATATTAATAAAATTATAATACTTTTAAATAATACAAACAATTTACAACAAATTAATTATGTATGGTATACCATAGATGCTCTAAGAGCACCACGTGGTCTGGTATAATCAATCCTGGGGAGTAGTTTTAAATGTACATGATTTTGAGCCAAATCAACATAATCCACTTGAGCAATATCATCTTTATAAAGACCTGCCAAAAATAAACTTAGATAAATAAATTATCCTTGCAGTTTATTTTAATCTGATTCTCAGCAAGAAAATTATAACATACCTCTTTTTAATCTAACCCATTGCTTAGATCTTAAACCAGTTTGAACTTTAACAACTTTCAAAACATCAGTCATTTCTTTTATAGGTACCATTTGTTGTTTCCAAAATCCCATTTTAAGACTACTAACATTTTCAATAGCTGACTTCACATGAGTTTGTTTATATGATTCAATGTAAATATAGCCTTTAACACCTTCAGGAGAGACTATAGATTTTATTTTCAATGGATTTTCAGTTAATTGATAAGCGATAAACTTGCGCATCAACAATAAAGCAGTGTTTTTCTCGTCACCAATGCGACATTTAACCATCCACAAATTAGGATCTCTATAATGTGATACAGCTGTAATATATCTATAACATCTGATATAATATAAATCTTACTTAACACCAGGTAAAAGAGTTTGTTGTGTAATTTCATCAGCTAACTCTTCACCAGCATCTCCAAAATGTTTTATTGGTGCTGAAGCATCTGCGTATTTTTTACGCAAATACTCTTCAATTTCATCTTCATTTTGAGAACTAAAAATATTAAAATAAATTTATATAATAAATTATATAATTTCAGTGTGTAATTGTATAAAATATTTAAATATACAGGGTATAACACAAAGATCTGATACCAGAAATAACTTGGTTCATTCTATATTCTATAATTATCTACTTTATTATAAGTTGCAACTTTTTGAATTCACTTACTTCAAGCCTAAGTCTTGCTTTTTTGGAGGGAGGGTGTCATTTTATAAATGTTTTTTAACAATGTTAAACTTTATTATTTTGTTATTTAATCTAAACTTTGGCACATATTTTAATGTATGAAATTAATTTTCTAAGTAAATTCATTAGTAGTATTTTAATACAATTTTAAGTTCACAAATTAAAAAAAAAACATCACAGAGGTATACTAGGAATATTTTTTTTTAAATACAACAAAATTAAAAAGACAGGCATACTTCGCACGTGAGTGTAGTCACTGTTGTAGGAGGAAAATTGAGAAGGTAGGATACAGACGAAAATTGAATATATATCTGAAAACAACGATTATCCATTGCTAATGAAAAAACTATTCTAAACGGAATTCAGTTGATAGTGTTGATTGATCAACAATATATATGTCATAATATGGTAAAGTAATTCCATATACATTAAACATTTTCTTTAATAATATTTGTTTAATATTGCACCTATTTTCCCGTTCTCCCATTTTTTTCAAAATATTGAGACAATGACCTCCCCAGACAAATTTCCTTTCAGAAAAAGTACTATCATTGTAAATCATTGCAAAATTGCTGGTAGAAAAGTAGATATTATGATATAAAGCGATGGTGGAAAACATTATTTACCATGAAGGTATTTCATTTTTTTTTTGAAAATTATATAAAATGAATAGACAAAAACATAGGTGTAACTAGAACTTGACAGTTATAGTGCAAGTGAGGTGCTAAACTAGATTTGTTTTGTTATTTTAGAAGTCAGATTTATATTACACCATATATATAATTAATAAATTAACCAATTTATCTTACTCCCAAAGATTAGTTCCACGTCGACGTCCTTCAATTTCCCTAGCAGTAGGACCCAATTCATCAACTTCATTAGCAACAATACCATATTCTCCCGCTCCATCTTCCCAATCATCGTCTTCTTCTACTTCATCATCAACATCAGCTTCATCGATAATAAAACCTCCAAAACGTTCATTTTTCTTTTTCTTTTTGCTCGGACGATTATCTTCTTCATCTTCTTCTTCATCATATTCCTGATAAACCCAAAAGTAATTATTAAGAGTTTAAATAGTATACAAGAAAAGTAGAATTTACGTTCTCAGAATTTAGATCTTCTCCTTCAGGTTCTTGTTCGTCGGCAACTTCTTCTTCTCTGTAATAAAAATTTAGTTTTGGTATGGATTGTTAGTAATAAAAAACTGTTGTACATACTGATTATTTTCTTCAGCTTCGGATACACTTGGTGAACGATCCACTTGTGAATTTGAATCTTCCTAAAAACAATTATTAAAATGTTGAATGACATTAGCTTGGGTCTATTACCTCTGGTTCACTACCACTGCCACCATGATAACTCTCTTGATCACTATCGTAGTCCGACATTATTAATAAGTTTGTAAAATCAACAATTACGTGAAGCTACCAATTTCTATACCAAATAAGGTGAGTCGGCGGCACGGTGTAATGCAGGGTTGCATAAAAATGGTTCCATATTTAAGTAATGATTGACAAATAACAAATTGCTTATTGAATGTTTACCACATCCACAGAATATATATATATGTTGTTTTATATATCTATAACTACATCGTTTAATACAATAATTTATCGTGATATCACAGATTTTATGAAACTTTTATCCAATAATATGTAAGCAATTTTATTACTCTATAATATCTCTGCTAGCAATATTTGATAAGAAAACCCAGTGGTTCCAAAATGTGTATACAATGTTGCTTAATAAACTTCTGAAATTGTACGGCTAATAGTTAAATAAGTTGCTTAACCAGCACCTAAAAATTAATTTTTTAATCTATTTTCAAAATCCTATTGCTACTGTTCAAAAAAATATTTCCATACCAGATTCATTTTAAATAAATGTTTTTAATATTTAATTCTTAGTTTTCACACAGTTTTAAATAATTAACTATAAAATTATAATTCCCTTTCATTCAAACCTCGCTGTTTAATTTTTTTAAACATAATCAGAAATTAAAAACAATATTCATTATATTTTTAAATGTATTATTTTGGGCGTTAAGAATTTTCTATTAAAATTTGAACATAATACATTTAAAAAAAATACTACTGCATTACGCTCAAGAAATGATACCTTTCAAATAAAATCTAATATGCTTGAAAATGTTAAATGGCTATAAACAGATTAAACTTCAACAGTCTTATCTTATATTAATTTATATTTCCATTGCAAAATCGTGATAAAGATTTTACATAACTTTGAATTTATGATTTAAATTTCGCAATAACACTGCAATCATCCAGCAAGAGGTGACAATTTTATTTTCAAATTTTCAATTGCTTATACTTTTTGATCCGTCTTAAGTTTTTATTTGGTTTTATATGGATACAATTTCGTTTAAACTCATTCAAAAATGTTGATATATTTTAGATGATTTAATCGTTTAATCATTCATTACACTAGGTCTGCGTTTCAAAAGAAACGGTGGTAACTTTTACCGAATATTTTAAGAACGTAGTCACACTAGTAAATACTAGTTACAATTTATTAATTAATTGTAAGTTGCACTTATAAACAATGAATTAGATTTAACAAATGGATAAACATAGTACTGACCTGTAAAATTGGTTAGCTGGAGTTATAGAAGAAAAATTTAATATACTTCAATACGTTTATCAAATTATTGCTGTAATAATATTTATTAATAGTAGGTATTATATAAATTACTTAATTTAGGTGGTATAAGCAGGACAACCAAATAAGTATTCGGTCTAATATTCCGTGATCGATCGACAAAAACCCTCATTCCTACCATGGAGAAATAAATCCACTATGATACATTTATTTGTATTGATATATGAAAGACAATCAATGTGGATTTATATTCAGGTATATAATACATTTTTAAATAAATATTTATATTAGGTAGGTACTGTAATTAACAAATTTATGCTAGGTAGATACTTATTTGTTTGATATTCAATATAAAGTTAATTACAATTTTAGTAGATATGGTACTGTTGACCACTCGGTTAATTTTATATTTTATAGATAAAAATTTTCTACCATATTGAGTAGAAACAGGCCGATTCACGCAAAAATGTTTGGACAGCCAGTGACATAGGATGCAGCCCCCTACAAGAGCCGATCCGGTATCATACCTAGCATGTCGAAAGATCATGACGTGAACTGAAGCGCACATTAATGAGGTGCAACCAAAAAAGTGGGAGTCACTGGGCTTCTTCAAATATTTCCAGCAGAATATTATATAAATAATATAAAAATTTATAATACACAAATAACTATTTAAAGTCCAAAAAGACGTCCTAGGATAATAGGGACGGGTGTTATAGATAATTTAATGTATACCTTTAAGCAACAATAAACCATTGCTTACGAAAAAACGATCTGAGCGAAGTTCAGTTGATAGTGATGCTTTGTCAACAATATATATATATATATGTCATTTTATGGTAAAAAAAATAAATAGGCTTTATACATTTTCTTTAATAATATTTGTTTAATGTTGTACCGATTTTCCCATATTCATAGGCGCAATTTCAGTTTTTGTTTTGGAGGGGCTAAAATAATTAGATTCAAACCAGTATGTCGGAGGCTTTACCTTTCAAATCTCCTATCATATTGATACCTATGTTACTTTACGTACTTTTAATATAATAATTTATATTTATCATTTTTTTTTTTTTTAACCACTTCTTACACTTAATAATTAAATTTGAAATACTATTTACTTAAAATAACTATTCCTTGATACATTTAAGTTGAACCGAATAACGAATTACAATATTGTAATATTATAATTAACAAGTAGTTCACTGTGAGTTGTGAAGTTGTGACACTATTGGGCATGAAATAGTAGCCGGTAAATCAAAACAAAATCAGTAAATAACCGAATGCGGGGCACGGAACACGCGCACCACCCAACCTTGCCGGCCTTAAATGCTTCGTCTACTAATACAAGCCATAAGGTCTGTGTGTTATAGGCTATTAAATAATTCAAAAATTTAATGCTATTCCTAATTTTATTATTATCTAATAATATTGTTGAAAAAAAGTAAAAATATTAGAAATGTTAAGAAATTGTAAAATAATTTGAAGAACAACAATACAAATTAATAACGTTTACAGTAGATTAGGTACATATGCTAATGGAGGGTTTAACAATTAAATAAGTTCACACGTTGTACCGTTCAAAATCATCAAACAAAGGGCCGGAGTATGGGTCCACAACTGATTTGGTCTCAGATTCCAGTCCTGGACAAGATAACTATAAGCTATCTTATAGATCAATGGCCTTATATAATATCTTAGTCCGTGTCCGTGGTGGATTGCATGCCATTATGGAACAATTAGAACATTGTGTAGTCAAGAACTACTCCGCTACTAAATTATATTTTATTAATTTCTCTTGCGTAAAATTGATACTGACAACATCGTGATTTGTAGTATGGTGATCTTACATATGTACAATTAAATTATAATATATACATCTGTGGGTGATTGTGATATATTCGAAACAAAATTATTTTATCCAAATGGTTTCCAAATTCCAAACCCAAATATATTATCATGAATGTGTTATCATTTCAATTAAACAGTGTGACACTGAATATAAAAATTATTTCACATTACAGATTTTATTACTTGAATTATAAACTGAGATAATTATCTTGAATCGAAAAAAAACGATAACAACTGACATATTATGATAATATTTCAAACCCCACCGCCACTACATTTATTTCTAATGTTTCTTTACTTTAAATTTTTTCAAATATGTCTGAAAACAGCTATAAATTAAAAAAACACGGACAACGAGAACGAGGAAAAAATTTTTGCTCAAGTGAAAAAGATTTATTATTAGAACTTTTACTACCACATAAATCAGTAGTTGAAAACGTAAAAGTAAGTATCTACCTACCTAACTTTATAATAAGTATGAATAGAGTTAGAAAAATTCTTGGATATGAAAACACCTCCTAATCTTCTCATAGATTTTGTATCTACTGAACACAAGTAATTTATTGTTTAATAGACTGATGCAGTATCAAATCAATTAAAAGCTGATGTCTGGTCTGAAGTTACTATTATGTTTAATCTAAATCAAACTTCAGGAATCCGTACGACTCTTCAGTTAAAAAATTTATACGACTCACTGAAAAGAGGTGCTAGAAGAGGAAAGAATGATAATAAAATTGAAGAGAATAATGATAAAAGTGATAATAATGAAGTAATTTTATATTTATATTATTTACAGCACCCTAATATTGATTTTCTAATAGAAAAGTATATAAATACATCAGCCACCACATTATTTTGTAACATATATAATATTGTTAAATCATAAGTATTTAATATTAACATTTTTCTGAAATTAAATTTTATCAATGCCAATACTTTTTTATAAGGTTCTGTAAAAGTGGTCATTTGACTGATCAGAATATGCTCAATTATTGAATTAATTTTTAGTATTTAATGTTGGAACTTTGGCTACAGTATCAGTTTATTAAATGAAGTTTACTTATTAAAGTATTTATGATTTTATAGTATACGATAAATAGGTAGCTAATAGGAACTATTTAATATTTTTAAAATTTGTTTAATATTGATATTTCTTGAAAGTTTTAGTAAAAATTAAAATGTATTTAAGATTAAAGAAAATTTAAAAAATATGATTTAAATTAACCATTCTTGACCTATCAGTTGACTAAAAACAACTTGACTGAGCCAATTTTATATTGTTAAGAATACAAATTTTGATCGGTAATAATTGATTTGGGTTGTCATTCATGTCATTTTATAAATTATAATTTTTAAAAAATATTTATAAAGTATTTTAGTTTACATCATATTTCCATTTTTAACTGTTGATCTCTAATCACAAAATAATTATAATCTAAGTATTCTAAGTTAAAACCTTATTAAAAATGTAAAACCTTTAATAATTATATATAAGAAAAAAAGAGAACATTTTCTCATGTATGGAAAAAATGTCTTCCATTTTTAATAATTTTAATATCAATTTTTTTAAAAGATGATCTTAAAAATGATTTGTGTAGTCTATGTTATTATTGTTTATTTCTTCGAAAAGATAATAGCATAATTAGTATAACATTTTATATTTTAAAAATATTTTGCATTTAACTTAAAAATTGTTTTTACTATTTTGGTTATTATTTATTTTAAATTATAATTTAAACTATATTATATTATTATTTTAATTTATTAGACTAGGAACGTAGCGAGTGATCTATTGGTTTTACTATGATTGATTTGGTTTTTTTCTATCTGTAAACACTTTTCAAAAAGAAATTTTGCTCTGAAGTGCAGCACCTTTTCTGAAAAGAAATTCTACCTCGAAGGTGATTTTTTGATTTTGAAAGGGGTTTTCGAAATAATTGGTGAAAACCAAAAAGAAAATTATCAGAAAAACGGCTAATATTGAAAGGGGTGCTGCGGCATTACTGATTTCATTACTTTTAATTTTTGCAAACTATGTTTTCTACCAAAAATTTTGAACAATAGAAAAAAAATAAGAGACTAAGAGACTTTTTTTGTTGAATTTTAATCTAGTTGGTGAATAAAAAAGTCTTTTTTGTTATTTTGATTTACTTTCTAGTGTTTTTAATAATTGAACAATTGAAAAAAAATGTATAAAGAGCGAAAAAATTTACAAATTCATAAATGATTTTATAATTTTCAATTTTGTTTTTTTGTTGTAATGCAGTTAAAAATGTCAAGATTTGTTTTATCTAGGCTTGGTAAAATAATTAAAATATTTGAGCTATTTTTGAACTTTTTATAGATATTTTAATTTTGCAAGTTTTATGTAATTTTTAATTGGTAGGTACTGGTACTCTGTGGATAAAATTGTTAGACTTAACACTTGAAATGCTTGAAATTATAGCCTTTCAAAATATGTATAACCGGTCTCTCACTTCTCTCCTAATTGTTTTTCTACATCAGTGGTATCACTAGTATTGGCTCTTTTTTTTTTATGTATGATTTCTGTGAACATTTAAAAAAATTATGAAACTTGATTTTTTAGTATTAAAAATATTGTTCTATTATTATATTATCTGATTATCTTATTAGTGATACTTAATGATACCTTAAATTAATGAATTATACATTTAATCCCGTGGACCAATTTTCGTATAAATCATATTTTGGCAAAGACAAATAAACTGCCCTAGATCCAATCAGTAGAGCTTCATTACTAGAATTGTATTTTCCCTCCACCTATTTTGTATAAAAACATTCTTTATAAAACAATAAATAACAAAATACTATTATAACACAATACCTTACTATACTAAAACTATAATGCTCTAAAAGAAATATGAAAATTGATCATAAAATGGTAGGTATAAAAAGTTGGAACCCCCAAAAAGTATATTCTTGATACTTGTACCAAGCATATATAAAATTCAAAATATCATCTCTCTGGGTTCATTTAGAGGTTCTGTATGATTAGTTTAATCTAAAAAACATCCTTTCCCCACACATGTTGATATTCATCCCAACTTTTATCTATCAATCTCATATAAAACAATTCTCAAGTCTGAACTTATTTTCTCCAGAAAAAACATCTAAAAGTGTCCGAAAATAGCTGAAAAAAGATACTGGGCGAAGAAAAAAATTTGACAAAAAAACCATTAAATAAGTTATGAAAATTGAAATCTATCATTAAATACGTATTTTTATAGGTTCAGGACCCTGTTCAACTTAAAACAGAAGGTGAATTTAATAATTCGAAGCAGAATAATAGTACCAGAAAAGTTTACGATGGTTGTTCTATATTATATAACAAAAGATTATCTCAGACAGAAAATAATTTAAAGTATGAAGAAGAGTTGCATCGAATTAAAATTAAAAAAGCCAATGCAGAACTTGAAGTTAGTGAACTAGAACGAACATTTTTGATTCAAAAAATGAGATATGAAAATGAAAAACTAGAGAGTGAACTTCGCCAAAATAAATTACGTGAAGAAATTTTATTATTAGAGTTAAAGCACAAGAAAAAAATGTTTAATTTGGAATAGCTCATTATTATAATAAATTAAAATATACATTTGTACAGAAATACAAAATATTACTTTGTTAATTATTGTATGATCTTTTAAACTTGATAAATACTATCAAACAAATATACATAATGTTAATAATTTTAGTTTTAAAAATTTATATTGTAAATTTATGTAAACAAAATTATTTAAAAGTTAAATTTGTTATTTTTGAATTAGATAAGTGAAAAAATAAGGTACAATTGCTATCATTATTACTATTTAATTAAATTTTTGTATGCAATTAAAGTTTAAAAAATTTAACCAAGTTCTTGATTTGTTTTATTGTATTCATATTAACTTCATTTAAAATTTGTTGTTTATACATTTTATAAAAACTTTGTCATCTGATGGCATTTTATCATAGTGTTCATCATTTCTATGTTCTTAGTTTAGTTCTAATGTCAATTGTCAACATTAGAACTTCTTTTTATTACCAAATAATCTTTGAGTAACATACTTTGTGCTCTTTGCAAAGACTTGACGTAAAGTTAATATTGTATTAGTTATAAATTTTAAGAAATATTATAATACAATATTAAAATTATGTTGTAATAAAATGTAACGATTAATACAGATTTGAAAACACTACAATAATAATTTATGATTATAGTTTTAAACCTTTCTTAAGGATAAATTAAACATTTAATTCTACAGTAGTTGGGTGTCCTACAAAATTCTAACATTAATACTTAAACTACGAATCACTCAGACTTAGATTTACTATAATATTATTAAATAGAACACTGGAGTCTGATTGTCATTAATTACTACAAAACTACCTAAATGTTTATTTGAACAGATCTGGAGTCGGAGTTCCAGCTGGCGAAATTAATAATTTTCTATAATAATACATTACTACTAATACTAATTGGTCTTAAATACCATGATATATCAACCTAACCTAACGCCTAATAAAACATTTCGGCGAGATCCAAGTCTCGTAGAAGGTCATTATACAGGCCTTCCATTCGGTCCATTAACCAGCCCAGCGTTATTGTGTACTCATCGAACAGGGTGGCGCGGTTCATATTATCTGTGAACGTGTTCAGATATTCCGGAAGGTGCTGACTGCCAGAATAGCAGCTTTGTCCGTAGACTTGTTGTCCGCGATCATACCACTCTGTCAACATTTTCACCACGTTGTCGCCTAAAGGAGTGCCGGAGGACGTCAAAATGTTCCAAATGTCGTCTAGCACGCGTCTAACGTCTGTTCGCTCGTCTTTGCTTATGAAATCAGTGAAGTTGCAGGAGACGAAATTGTCGACAGCCAGTCCAATCAAACGCACGCCGTACGTCAGATATACTCTAATGACGGTTTTCATTTCCGCTGTATCGGTAACGCGGTACAGTTCGTTTACATCCCCGTTTGTACCGTCGAAAATATCTTTGGCGATACCATAGCTTTTCATTCCGCCGTGGAACATGTAAAAAGAGGATATCAGTTTTTCCATCGACCAGCTGACGTAATTCCCGAGATTTTTGTGCATTTCAAGCGTCTCCAACCACCGTTGGATTTCGTTCACGTCGGCCGCGAACACCCGAACTATGCTGTGTAACATTCTCACCAGCAGGTTTACATACACCAGAATATGGCACTCGATGGCGTTTTGGACGACTGTAGTCAGCTCCGCGCCCCTGCTTACAATTTCCCGATCGGCATTTGACATGACGTTATTGAGTTGCGTCGACGTCGAACACTGCGACTGCTCCATCACGATCTCGTCGCCGATCAACCTCCACACGTGCGGATCCCGGTACTTGTTTAACGAGTGGTAGAAGATGATCGACATGTCCATAGTGCGATGCGAATCTGTGTTTGCTGTGGAAAATCTCACGTACAACAGTTCGAAATCTTTTCGGACCTCCGCGTACAGCTTGTTGATCTCGCCTTTGGTCATGGGGACCACATTGATTACTCTCTGTCCGCCTGCTGCAATCATCGTGGCGAATACGTCACGGTCGTCGGTGGAACAACACTGGGATTTGTAGACGCTGTTTGTCGCTGCAAACACGAACAACAACAAGTTAAGAAAAGACGACGCGGCGTGGACCATTTTTATTGAAAGCATCACTTCGTACACCGTTTTGAACTTATCAAAATGTTCCAGATTGTTGATGAACGGACGGAGAAGTTCCACTAAATATCTGATCTTGTCCACGAAAACGACGAGCGAATTCAAATCGTCGGCGTCCGCGTTAGGATATACGCCGCCGTCACCGCTGTTTATGTATCGGTTGATTTCTTCTACCCTTTTTTCGGTTGACAACTTCATCTCCACTTTGTCTAATAGTTTCCGTAAGATTTCGGGGTTCCCGTTTCCCGTATCGTGCTTGCTCATCGTCGATATCATTCCGTGCCAGACTATCGGCAACAAATACCGCATGCTCCGGCAAATCGAAGCTTTTTTCTCCATGATCAGCAACCAGAGGCCGTACTCTCGGATCGCTTTCAACTCTTTGTCTATGACCTGTCCCAACTGCATGTATTTATGACCGTTTTCTGTTTTGACCAGCTGCCGACAGTACACTTCCATCCCTGCGTCCGGTGGTATTAAATTCATGCACTGCGTTTGAAGGTCGTGCAACATATCGAACGTGTCCATCGTTCCCTGGTCTTTCGGACGAAGGCGGTCGCATATTGCACCGGTCGCAAAAATAAACGTCAACACTAATATTGTATTGGAAAACCGCGGTACATGACGACGGCACATAGTTTGTTGTAGAAACACAGTCGCGATATTCGCGGTACTAACGCGCCCGCGTTCGGTATACGTTTTTATCGCGTTCGTCGTAAATTCTTCGCACACGAAAATAATAATTGGGTACCAAATACGTGTTACATTTACGCGTCTTGTTTAAAATACCTGTATTATAATGTGGTGACAAACTGTAAAGCTTAACCTATATAAAACACGCACGAGTTTTTTTTTTTTTACCTGTCTTACCATTTATATGCCTACCTTCGTATTTCTATACTAACACGTTGAGCACTTTATACAGTTTATTCAAGTGTTAGAATTGTGCGTCTTACTGGGTATGTATTTTATTAAAAAACTTGGTAATGTACTTTGACTGTCATAGATTTTTGTTTGTAGATATTTCTTAATAGTTGAGTAAAACCGAAAAATTGCGAATATTTGCGGAAATAAATTTTGTTTTTTTAATATCTTTTATATAAAATTCTCCAGTCACAGTGTTTATTATTGAACTCCTTCGAAACAGCTTGACCGATTTTCATGAAATTTTTTGTGTATATTTGTTAGGTATAAAGAATAGGCTGTAAAGTATTCACCCCCCTACCATCACACACTATTTTTTTATCGCGATTTTAGGGTTTTCGCTTATATATATATATAAATGTATACACGAGCAACACCAAAATATTTTGGCTTACAAGATAATAAAATACAATTTTTTTTGTTGATTTGTGTTACCCCGGTAACAGGAAACAAAATGGTGATTAATTATTATTAGAAATTAGTCGGAAAATATCATGTGATCATCAAAATCGGTCCAGCCGTTCTCGAATTATAAATGGTGTAACTAACCCGACTTTGTTTTATTTATTTAAGATTTTTGTTTATTCAAAGGTTGCCACGGAAAAGAAAACTATTATAATTATTATTATTACTATTATTTATAGTATTCAAATTTCACAATAGAACATTTTTTGTCTGCCGAAGGTGGACTACCCACTTTCCACCTATTTGTTTTCATTATATTCTAACACGGCCAAAACCATAAATGAATATGGGTAAAATAATAATAATACAAATTGGCACGGACAACGCCAGGCGCGGGACAGCTAGTAAATTTATATGATTCAGTTAAAAATATCCGAAGAGACTAAAAATTTGGACAGACAACTTATATTTGCTTTTTTTTTGATACAGTAAAATTTTTAAGATATTCTCACAATTTTTTAGCTATTCGTTGACATTTTAATTCTGTAAGGTTTTTTACGTAATTTTTATTCGGTAGGTATTCTGTGGATACAATTTTTAAACTAATCAAAAATACTTGTAAATATGACAGGAGGTTCATTACGTGTACTTAGTGGTTGAAAAAAAAAAAAGAAAGAAGTTAAGTGTAATGCAGGATTTTTTTTTAGAATATTTAAATCAAATTTGGACGAAAATCTTAAATAATATTAAGGTCTTTCGAAACTTGTATAACCGAACTTCGTTCCAAATCGTTTTTCGTTAGCAATTATTTATCATTGGTTACAGATATAAATTAAATAACTTTATGTTTCCCACCTTAACAACTGCCCACCTAATGGCAAACAGTAAACCACTGAACAGTGGTCGCACCCAACCTCAGTATCAGATCTTTTTTTTTGTTTAAGCTCCAATTTATTGTGGCCTCAAAACTTTGAATCCTGGCTTAATTTTTATACAGCAACGTTTCAACCGTAATAAATTATTGTTTTTTGTTCGTTAGAAAAAAATATTCAGAAACGCGGAACATTTTAATAAATTATAATTATACATTAAAAATTATAACGTTATAATTAACACACCCGTCACTTGATTAATAATACGCAATATTGTATGGGGCGACGAGGTTGGTAACCATTATATTACCACGGTGTGTGCACCATGAAGACTGCAACTACTAAGTATATACCTAATACCTATACTGTTGATAGATAGGTACACACATAATACATGGTGTACACTGTACACGTACAATAATAATAATAATAATAATAGGTATAGACGTCGCCACGTAGGTTGTAGAGAAACAAAGATGATGTCTATTACGTGACTGGTAATACCCGATAGTTTTGGCTCGTGTACTACAATTTTTAATTTTTAAAATGGTTACATTCTTCATAAGAGAATAATATTATTACACGAGTAGTTAAACAACAAATTAATGAACTACGCCTGGATACCTGATTATAACCGATGTGAGAATAACAAGTAATTTTTACCTTATACAATATACTAAAATATGCATACGAATTGTATATTCAGCAGGCATTAGATTAAAATCCCTTTTCCAAAAAAAAAATCTAAGTAGGCATAGGTACGTACGGTCAAAAAATAATTTACGGAGCTGTAAAATTCATTGATTTCTAAAAAATATTGTATTCTAGATACTAACACTAAACCAACTAACTTTATCCACCCTACATACAATTGTATATAATATTCTCGTACCTATATTAAACTAACGGTTCAATATAGTTATAAATTAATGTTTGGTGTTATATTTTAAACATGTACGGAAATAAAGAAGGCCAAGACAACCCCCTCCTAAAATCGTTTAAATATTTTGGTGATTCGCATGCAGTAGGTATTGAAAAACCCTTACAAAAAGTGTTCCTACTGAAGACAGACAAAAAGAATGGAGCAATCATGTCCCAATGATTATTTTGTGTTTTGGATATTTCGAATGTGGCAGTTTATTTATTTCCCATAATATTTTGTTTATATTAAATAAAAATGTAATAGTTGTTAATAAATACATTTTCATTTATTTACAAAGTATTATTTGTTATATTTTAATAAAATAACATTATTATATTGATTATGATATAATAAAATACAAAATTGAAATGCATTTTTTGTTAATGATTAGAAGGTGGGCGAGCTAACGTCTTACATGCAGGGCTTGAAAACGTTTGTTTTTATATCGTTTTACAGTATTTCGTTTTGTAACGTTATATTTTGTTTGTGATAAAGTGTTTATCGTTTTAAAACGTTTATTTTTTTTTTTTTATGATATAACGTTTATCGTTACGAATGGTTTTTTTTCTTTCAATAAAAAATTGTCGTCTTAAAACGTTTCTTTCTTATTAATACTAACCTTTTATTCATTTTGAACATTTTTTAATATAAGACATTTTTGAAATGTTTTGTTAATTTTTCTGACAATAAGGTAAATTTCATTGTTATTATCATTGTTGTATGTATCATCTTTCGAGATTATTATTTATTATTCAGATCTGTTAACTTTATGTCTTTATTGTTAAGGTTAATACTGTTTAGAAATTCCGAATTAGTTTCGTTTTGAAATTTTTTTTATGATGTAACGTTTACTTACCGGCTATCACTAAAAAATATTTTTAGAATTCGTTAGTTTTAGAGTTTTCATTATAAAACGTTTTCAAAATTTATAAGTTATAACGTTTCTCGAATTTATTTGTTAAAACGTTATAATAACTTTTTATTAATAATGTTTTCAAGTCCAATGTATAATATAATTAATTAATTAATTAATAGCCATCCTGACTTTGAACAGATTTTATATTGAACTATGTACGCGATCTATTTTAAAAACATGCATACAGCCATGCATGGCAACCCATTCTACCCTGTAGTGTGGTCCATTTTGATTATTTATTATTATTGTAACTTATTTTTTTTTTTAAGATAGACTTTGAATTAGGATTTCAAAAACTATTTTTCTTAACTCTATAAATTAGAGTTTGAATCAGACCAATTTATTACTATTTTTTCAATTTATTACTTTTTTTGTAGTTTTTGATTATACAATGAAAAATCGAATGTGTCTTGTAGTTAACTTCTTTTCAACAAAAACAAATATCGAAGTAACGAACGTCTATTACAAAGTAGTGAGTTAAATCTGTAAACCATTTTTGAATAAAAAGAAAATAGTTCGTGCACTGTCCCCTTAATAGAATTTATTAAACTAATTAATTTTTTTCATTATAAATGTTGGTAAAATTGTATAAGCAATTGCTAAGAATTTGTAAAAAAAAAAAAACAAAATACAAGTGAGACCTTTAAAGCATTGAAATATATTTGGTATGTAGGAAATATGTATTTTATCGATCAGATAGAATATTGTTGGCATTCATATTTATCACGAGTATAAAAATAGTAAGAAGCGATTAACGTGAGGTCTAAAGAAAAAAAATCGCACATTTGCAGTAATGACAGGAATAAAATACAATCTAGACATGTTATGTGTTTTTATGGTACCTACTTTATAACGTTATGACTGATTTTGCGGTTATTTGCATTTGTAATAATACAATAAATTATTATTTGCATGTAACAGTAAACACAATTTCGTCGTTTTATAGTGAACATTTTTTGTATTTGTTATTATTTTGACAATGCTTATAAATTGGCTTTAACATTTTGTTTTTTCATTCAAATCCCCCTCCTCCATATTGAAAAATCGAATGTGTGCCCCCACTGAGTACCTATTAATGGGAATCTTTTTACTGTCAATGAATATCTAATATATTGACTTGGTAAACAGACGCGTGGTCTATTCAACCATGGTTCGTCAACTATACTGCACGCTTTGTATTGGTAGGAGTACAATTAACCTGTGTACACAAGTGGCAAACGGATGAAAAAAAAAATTAAAAAATAGCGTACACCGTAGGTATCTAAAATTCTAAAAAACAAATTACTCACGTTTACGAATATATAAATGGTGTTTGCGATAATAACGAAACATTGGTATTATTAGGTATTTGATCGCGACTTATTGTCTATATTTATCAATATAACAACAATATAGCCAATAGGTATAATTAGGTAATATTATTCTTTGTACTAAGTCAAATATTTCGATTACTCCTCCTTTGGATACGAATTATGACCGCACTCAATGTGTACTTTATAGATTAATAGTATATGGGTACCCGTCTATAATATTTTAATTAAATATTGGTCAATCGATGAAAAAAATTACTATGAAGAAATATTATGTATGGTAACTATTTTATTATTTTTTTGTTGTTGTTTTCAATTGTCTTTTATATTCGATAAATTTGTCCATGCAATATTTCAATGAGTGACGCGTAATATTTAATATTATAATAATATTAATAGAGTTATTTGGTCGGTTTTTTTCGGAACCATAGGAGCTGATTTTGTACGCAACCCCAACTTGTCGAGGTATACGAGGACAACTGTACGCGTTAAGGGTCAAGGACTCAAGGTGAAGATGCCGGAGATTCCCGACCGATTTAAATTAAGTGTTCCTCCTTTATAATTTTATCACTATAATATATATTACTGTAATAGGTATTTGTCGACAATATTACTACGGTTTTATTTTTATTTGTTTTCATGCATACTTAATGAAAATAACATTGTGAAAACATATGCGTTGACTAAAGGAAGACGAGTATTAGTAGGTACAAATAAATTTTCAACAATCAGGAAACGGAATTATTATGTACACGCTGGTACCTATATTATTAAAAAAACAAAAAACAATAACATTTATAAAATGACCAAGGTTAATCCTCGCCCACATAATATATTATAAGAGTGTTGGCCAGAATAATTTTATGTTATTTACCTCAGAAATAATATTATATATATATATATATAAAGAAATAATATTATATATATATGTATTATGTGGTGTTTAATTAAATGATTCATTTGGGAATTTTCATTATTTCTCGCATATATCACACATCACTTTAAAATATTATTATATACATTATGAATATCACATTTAAATGAACATTTATCAAGGACACAATAAATATAGATACCTACTACCTAGGTTCGTTACTCTTCCTGATATATCAAGGGTTTAAGTTCGAAATTACACTATACAAAATAAAAATTAATAATAGTAATAAATGTAATAAGTCATTAATTTAGAACTCGGGGCTTATTGTACTTAAAATTCACAAAAAAAAACCACTTAAAAACGTCAAAAAAACCTTGAAAAAAAGCCCTTCAAGCATATGATTATTAGACCAAATGGTAGGAGAGTTTAAATTTGTTTTCCCTCTAAAGGTTTTAACTTATTAAAAACAATTTTCTACCACTACACAAATTATTAACACAAAGTTATTTTTTTTTATAATACATATAATTTTATTTAAACAAAATAAATGTTTGATAATAATTATTTGTGTTGTGTTAGAAAATTATATTTAATAATATAGAATCGTTAGACAGGGGAAATTTAAACCCTTCTATCATTTGGTTTAATAATATTTGCTTGAAGTGCTTTTTTTCAATGTTTTTTTGACGTTTTTAGGTGCTTTTTTGTGAATTATAAGTGCAATAAGTTCCGAACCCTGTAAAAACACAATTATTATAGCATAATACGCTGTATAATAGTGATATTACCTAGTTGAACTTTGTATTTGTTAAACTTGTGAATTGTAATCTCGAGTTTTGAAAAAAATTAAACTCAAATATTATCAATAAGAATATTTTTTTTTTCAATACAATACATTGTAATACATCACGCCCTCAAAACAATAAGACCGCCGAAACTCGAAATTTTTCACTTTATTTGTTAGTATACCAATAGTATTGTAAACATTTTCTCTACAAAATAGTACTCCACCATAACGCATGATATTATTCCTGGAGTCACAGTGTTATATCAGTAATGAAATTTTCATTTTTTTTTTTTTTACTCTAATGAAAGCAACACAATCACATTTTAAGTATCGATTTATCGTTTTGTGATAAATCATATTTCAATAATATTTTAAAAACTTAAATAATTTTGATAATATTAATTGTATTTAGGGCGATTTAGAGTTATTTTTTTAGTAAGTACTGGAGTTAATTATTAAGGCGGAATTTAAGATGCAATATTTAGGTTGATGACTGTTTTGAATTTCTATTGTCTTTTTATAAGTATATAATGTAATACTACCTCAAATCAAAATATGTTAGTGTTTCGCTAGAATTTAAAACTAATAAAACCTGCCATAACTATAAATTCTCAGAAATTAAAGATATCTTAATATTGCGTTTAAAGGTGAGATTTATGTACATAAAGGATGTGCAGCATATCCATTGTCCAATGTACCTGCCAAATATTTTAGAATAGAACAACCATGAGAAAAAGTCATGTTATTAGATATATTATCGATATTATAGTGTTCTAAATTGCTTAAATAAATCACTTATACATTTCATATCAAATTGATAGGATTAATTTCATCGAAAAATAATTTATTATTGACACCGATGACTGTATATACATTTCACGTCATAGTAAATTGACAACAAATTGCAACAATCACTTATTTAATTTAGGGGAAACAAAAGAAAACCTTGGTCGCAAAGTAATTAGGTATCTAAATATAAATAGTTAAACTATTAATATTGATTAAAAATACAGTTTCGTTTTTATATAATTATGTATAGTAAATTATTGAATTTAAGTAAAATTAAATAATTTAGTATTATTTCGGCAATTTTACAATAATTATAGACAGATCGTACCTAACATATTAAATTGATTCAATCACGTAAGTAAATTATTGCTTAAACAAAATTAATAAGCCCTATAATTCTTTAAAAGTGGTGTTATACTGCCACTTATACGTATTATACTAACGAATTTCCTACATTGGTACACGATTTTTAATGTAGGTACCTACTTCATAGTAAAAGAAAAATCTACATTTTAAATCTTTATTACTATTATTTTTTTTGTCAACTTGGTATCTACTAATCTTTAGGTACAATATGTGCAATTTAAACCACTAGGCACTGACCCATCGTGTCATCTTGATTGTAGTAGTTATAGGATATGGAAATGGCCTAGCCAAAATGTATACGTACAGACAAATACACAATATAATACGAGGGAAATCACGACGACTCATCGTGTACCTACAGGTATATACAAATAAAAAACACAAAGCTGCAGATATTGATGTTTGACTTTTAAATAATCGCAACAACCGGTTCGCAAATCGCATAGACTTATAACATTATATTACAATACCACCAAGTTGATGTCATTATCCTTGAACGTCGGAAAACAGCCTTAATTATAATTTGGTGGGAATATTATAAAACCGGCGTGATGCGCGCCGTAATTCAATAGTTTGTATTTTTGCTTGGCAGCAGTAAGTCTAGCTATACCTAATAGGAGACTTCAACATCAAAAATAACAAAGAAAACATGTCTGTAACACAGAAGATGTTTGCCTGCAGCGGTTTTATGTTCGTCGTTATTCTGGTGCAGTTTACTCAAGCCGTACCTGTACCAGTGCCCGAAAAAGTGCACCCTGCAGGTAATATTTTGAATATTGTAAAGAACAAATTGTTCAAGAGGCAAACAATAAAATATTCGTTATTATAGACACGCGTCTCGTGGATCTTTCACCCCGGTATTTTAGGATAATGGCAATTATAGTAATTCGATTAATATTAGACATTAGTCGTCTATTTATTTACCTATAAGGATTCTAAAAAGACTACGACTTTAACATTGTCTATATAATAGTGCCGATTATAATTACATTTTTCTTAGCTATATTCTTGACAGTTTTTCAAAAACGATTTTCATAACACATAAATACTCGTTTACCTTGTAAACACATTTAATGCCTCGAAAAATGTTTACCGATAACACACATTATCGTATACGACTACTAATAATATACAACCCTATTATACAATACTAAACACGATACAAATATTTTGTTATTTCACCATTGACATCTCGATATGAGGGAGGGGAGGTTAAGACGCTGACATTTTTTATTTTTTAATAAATTGTTTAATTTCGCTGGTAATTTGTTGGGTTTTAATTTGTCCAACTGAACCTTATGAAAACGTCCGGGTAACCAAATATCGGTAATTATTATTTTAAATGACGTTTCCTTGCCCCTTAGTAAAAAATCTGCGGTCACCCTAGTCACATTTACATATTTCGCAAATCAAAAAAATAAAACCTTAATATTTTTACATTTCAGAATATGGACAAATAGTGGCAGTAAGAGTGATACAATCAGTGGGTGAACCGGAGGCAGAAGTAGTTATGGAACCAGCAGCAGCTGTGGTTAGGCCTGTTCGGTCCGCCAGCCCGTTTTTCGGTGTCTTCACGGGTGGTTATGAGAAACCGTACAAGAAGCAGCACCATCATCATCAATATCACCACCAGCAGGAGCATCATCAACAGGAGCCAGAGCCCATATACCACAGACCTCAATACCACAAACCACAGCACCAATTGCAACATCACGGCGGTGGAAGCGGCAGCCAGGCGGGAAGTTTCGCCTCGGCCGGTAGTTTCACCGGTGGACACGGTGGTGGCCAAAGCCAAAGTTCGGCCAACAGTCAGTCCGCCAGTTTTGGATTCGGTCCGTTCCAGGCCAGTTACTCAGCTAGTTCGGCACAATCGGGCAGTCATTCCGGTAGGAGGTAAGTCGTAAGTGCCTATACAAAAAAAATTAACACGCGTACTATGCAAGATTAAAAATAAGAAAATAGTTTTTAAACTCAAACTAATTAGAGACTTTGTCGAACGAATTCTCGTATTTATAACGTAGGTTATAACTCGATATTTAAGGGGTAACGTATAGGCAAATTTAATGTCATTAATATAAATTGATTTACATAACTTCTACATCAATTAATATTTACAAAATAAATAGATATTTTATTCCTTAGGTAAAATTGTGTTATTTTTCATAAGTTGTGTTACACTAAATCATATTTATTTCGAGATAAAACGATTTTTTAGTTTTTATGTTCATTGTTCAATAATTCTCACACTGTCACCCCATGATGCTTAACATGTTAATTTTTTTTATAGTTGAATATGATTTTTGTTATACGTGTAATGTTTTACTATTTTTCAGATCATATGACTATTATTGATTAAATTCTATTCAAGATGATTTAATATTGTGAACATTTGTTATAATATGAATGTGAAATGTGATTATTTTAATTTATTATTGTATTTTAATTATGTATAGTGCCATTGAAAACACCGTATTCAAACGAAATTTCAATTTTAGCATTTAGAATCATGATAATTTAATATTATGATTTTTAATGAGATTTTGTATGGTATTCAATAATAAAGTTCCATGTTTTTTTTTTTTTACTTTGTTTTATTTTTAATATTACACATATAACATCATATTTGATTCTTTGTTCCAAAACTTATAGCAAGACGACAAATTATGAATTAATAAAATACATATATGTAACGTGACTGTAAATATTATCTATGAGTTTATATATACTGTAGATATTATACCTAAGCAGGTACCTTATCATCTTTTTTTTATATTAATTTAAATCTGTAAGTACACTGAATATACCCTGTGTTTAGTGCTCGAATCGGGGAAAAAAATATAGAGTGATTTGTTTATCATGAACTAGTCTAAACTTTAAACGGTTATAACTCTTAAACGGTAAATCTGATAATATCGAAATTTTTAAAAAATATCCCCTTCAAATCTGTGTTTAAAAGAGAGGGGGTCTTCTATTTAAAAAAAAAAAAGTATGTATTTATTAAATGTATATGGAATAGGCATAATGTAAAATGGTTTTAAAACAAAGCTAAATCGATTTCACAATGATTAAAAAAAAAAACAGAGATCAAATTCACTTAACGGAACACTGTCATATTTTGATTTGGGGCAGTATTACATTATAAACTTATAAAAAAACAATACAAATTCAAAACAGTCATCAATTTAAACACGGCAGTCTTAAATTCCTCCTAGAAATTCGCTGGTTCATGTTAAAAAAGAGCGTGTAATAATGATATGTAACAAAATGATTGACTATTTAACTAGATCAATGAACTATTTTTAATCTACTTCTAAAATAAATGAGATTATAATATTATTGTTGGATTATTTATATTATTAAATTAAAAAAAATTATTTTTAGTGGCTCAGAAAAACGAGGCTATAATATCAAATGCCAATATTGTCAATTAATTGACCATCTATGTATGAACAATTAAATTACCTACTCACTTAATTGTATTTAAAAGCTATTTTTCCAATAGATACTGTCTTTTGCATCTATTAAAGCGATACAATTTTTGTAACTCTTAATTCGGTATCATTATTATTTATCATATGGTACCTATTTCAATAATATTTTTTTTAGAATCTTAACATTTTGAAGATCTGACTTGAAATATGTAATATAAATATATTTAATTTCATAAAACAGTTTCTCCTGGAATAATATCTTAAAACTATAATCGTCATTCGTCAGGTACACATATACTAAGAAGTTAAAGTTAGCATAGTACAAAATACAGCGCGTAATACGCAGCTAACCAAATGATTTTTGATATGCTGCCATTTTCAGTGTGTTTATCTTGTGTACAAGTCTATAAATTCCACAAATCCGGTGTGTTTTTTTACCAGTGCGGTGCTGTTCCATGCATTTATTCCATATTCCATATTCGATGGAAAGAAATTAAATTCGATCAGACCTCTCACCCTAAATATCTGAAAGTTATTCAAGATAGATCTTTCACGTATAAGAGACGTTGCCAAAAGTGAAGGCAAAACCTAGTGCGAGGAACAGCATACTCAAGAAATTACAGAATCAACCTGGGGGGGGGGCAAATGTCCACACATTAGTGTCTACACTAGAGTGCTATGCTTTTTCGTATGAGAATACGCAAGTACTGTTCAGTGCAGATAAATCCACCCAAAACCGGTTGATGTGGCACTAAATGAATCTGTTTTGAGGTCTGTTAAATATGAAAAAAGATGCAATCGAAGTAGGTAATCAAATATTGGAAGGACAAAGTATAATATAGGTATCTAACCTATTGGAGTATATATTACAATCATACTCATATCTAGTTCTAAAATAGTCAAAAGACATGTGATTTATTAAGTTATTCATGTCTCTACTTATTTTTATTTTTATTTTATTTATCTTATTTACCTACCTACGTATGGTTGTTTAACACGAACAGGTATAATAATTTGGCGGGTTACACCAAAACATAATACAAGTGCTCGCCAGCTGACGGCTTGTGGCGCGAGAACAGGCGAGCACGCAATATTTAAAACAACATTAGTGGTAAAAATCAATTATACAAAATAATTATTTGGAGTCGGAAAACAATGTTTCGCGAACGGCGTCGGTGCGAAGAGAGCGAGCGGAACGGTCGAGCCGAGCTGTGGCCGATGACTATTGAACGCCGACGGCGAGGGGAGTGTCCGACGTTCGCCGCGAGTGACGCGCAGCGTGAAGAAGAAATGTGGCGCGAAACCCGCCACAATAATAATTCAATTTATTCGATATTTACGTCGATGATAAGTGATACTTAACACTGATACAAATCTGACTAATCTGAGTATGGTACACTGATAATTATTTCATCTATTCTGTTGCACTATGGTCTATGGCCATCGGCATAGACTTATAAACCAGCCAGCAGTATATTGTATTGAATATTATTATTTTTAATGATATCATAATGCACCCTTAATTTGTAATTTAAATAAATCTTTCTAGTCCTATTTAGAAAAAAAAAAAAAAAACAGCCGGATACGTATATATTTTTGTTTTGTGTGTGTGTACCTAGGTATGTGAAATAATAATTCTAATGCGAGTACTTATGTAACGTAAACAAATATCGAATATTATGTATGAAACAGGTGAAAAGCACCGCACCGATAAAGCGGAAAAAAAACCGGATCTATAGCTTTAACGGGCTCGTATCTATGGTTGGCAAACGACGAGATAATGGTAAATTCGAGTTGACGAAACGGTTGAGAAAAAGAAAACTACGATTGCAGTATCGGGTAAATGAGGTTTGCCAGCCTGGCTCTCTGACAGCAAATCGTCCCGTGACGTTCTCCACGTCCTCAGCTACAGCCGGCAACGTCATTATGCTCGTAGGACGTTGTGTACTCGTGTGTGGACGCGGAACCCATGCGAACTGTTTTTATCCTGTTGCCCGTTAGACGTGTCCGTTATTTTGCTCGCGTCTCTGCTCCCATTTCGTCGTTTCTGCTGCTGGTGAGAAACAAATTGTTTCAAAAATGAAGCTTAAATGGATGCTGTTATGCTTGTCCTTGTTCGCTGCTGTCATAGGTATAATATTTTGTCGTCCTTAGTGCATCTGTACAAAAAAGCAATTTTGCGCCAAGGCGTCTCGCAACTTTCCGACCCACATCGATTTATTTAATATTATATTGACGGTACCGTTTTGCAGGTGTTGTGCGCGCCCAAGACGATATCGACGTTGATGAAGAGATGATCGTCAGCGAAGACCAAGTGATGATTGAGACAGATGGTGATGAGCCCAACATAGAAGAGGTAGAACCAACCGATGCCGATACATACTTATTGTTCACGAAACCGGTGTTTGAGGAAAAAGCCAGCATTGGTAATTATTGCAATTTATCTTCTCTGACCTCAATGAAATAGGTATTCTGATAGTTAACTTTAATTCTCAAAATTATATACAATACTCGGACATCAATAATTAAAGTGATGGCATCGAAGTTGAACCAAGATGAACGATTGGATGCTACATTAAAGAACCACAAAACTGATTGTATTTTATTATCTATAGATTTATCATTACATACTAATAAAAAGCTACTCAGTTAGAATATGGACAATCTGCCAGTTCAATTGCTAATTATGAATTGAAATTAAGAGGATGTTAAATCTGCATTTACTGTTTCAGTCCAACTATCTGGTAATATGTAGAATAAGTAAAACTAGTTTAGTTTTGATTTTAGAGTAAAAGTATTTATTATGAAATTTATAGAAAACATTATTTTGGAAGGAATATCGTAGGGTTTTTGGTGTATTCAAAATATACAGCTCGATATAATAGATACAAAAACTATTTTTTTTTTTTTTTTTTTAAATAATTAACTTTTTTTTAATCCATAATTCAAAAATTCCCTCCCAAATATTGTTCTCTATAAATTTCATAATAGGTACTTTTACTCTAAAATCAAAATTAAGCTAATTTTACTTATTCTGTATAAACATTGTTTTTACATGCTACCCAGTAGTTGGACTGGGACAGTATAACGTCCTCGTAAGGGACATAAATTCCTTCAGATTAATTAAGAAACAAGTAGATAATGTGTTATATTTTACAATATTTTGTGTTGTTTATTACTAGTAACATAATTTATCATAATTCATATATGTTCATGAACATATAATCTATATTTTATGTTTCATATACTTTCACTATTCATAATTATTGTGGATCATAATATAAAACACAAACCCTCTAGTTCATTATTTATCCTATGTCTACCTATCACATTATTATCGATCTAAGATTTATCCTTGTCTTTTGAACAAATTTTTGATTATTTTTCACTTATTTATTTATTTATTTTTTTTAAATTGGTTTAAGTATACTAACACATTAACTATCATTTAGGTATTATATTATAAATCATACTTTTAGGTAATTTTATTAAAACTGATTGAAAAAAAAAAAAAAATTACGCCTATTAAAAAAATTATTATTAATTATAAAAATATTCATCAAATATTAATACTTTACAAAAAATTAATTCAAGTACCTAAATAATATTGAATAATGGGATCTAGAAATAAATTCTATTTGGTCTCTTTCAATAATTGGATAAAGCTCAAACAGCTTAAAAATCTGTGTTGATATGTTTTAGTAAATAACAAAATAAATTAAAGTACTTTTATAGACACAAATCAACATTTTGGAAACAATTTTTCTTACATTATATTTAATAAAGTCTTATATTTTTTATTATTAGTTTTAAATAAATTAATCATTTAGTTTAAAATAATATTATCTTTTATTAGAATTGCCAGCTGGCCGCTTGTCTGAATTCCTTGTTGGATTCACCAATAAAGGATCTGAAGATTTAGTTTTGGAGACTTTGGACGCTTCTCTTCGTTATCCTATGGATTTCAATTTCCATATTCAGAATTTCAGCACCATTACAATTGATAAAACCATTCCACCAGGATCACAAGCTACTCTTGGCTATGCTTTTATCCCAGCTGATGCTTTTGCAGGACGGCCTTTTGGACTTAGCATCAATCTGGCTTATAGAGACAATGTAAGATATAATTTTTAATTACTTAAAAAAAAAAACATGTTTCATATTTATTAATGTTCCTAGGAAGGCAAACAAGTGATTAGTAAATTATACAACGATACTGTAAACATAATAGAAGTAGAAGAAGGTTTGGATGGTGAAACTTTGTTTTTATATTTACTTATGGCTGCTGCTTGTGTTCTTCTATTGGTCGGTGGTCAACAATTTCTATACTCAGTGGGTAAAAAACGTGTTGGTGGTGGTCTACCAAGTCGTGCTAGATCTAATTTGGAAACTGGAACAAAAAGTAGCAAACAAATTGATATGGACTGGGTGCCAAAGAATGTTATTAATCACCTAAGTATGTTTACAATTTATTTAATTAAGTAACATTAAGGATATTTTTTACATAAGTTTTGTTCATACTAATCTGGCATACAATATTTTATAAGTTACAATCAATCAAATTCAATGGTTTCAATAATTAAATAGTAACAAAAATTATTAATTTTATAAACTAACAATATCCATTGTAATAAAAGAAAGTGTTTGTCTGTACAGAATATACTGCCGATTCTATCGGACACAGAGATCTAAAAATTTACATATAGAAACTCGATTGTTCATGATTAATGGGTTCAATTTAAAAATTTTGTTAATTTATTGATTTCCTTGGTGATATGAATGAAATAAAAATAATTATTGCCTATTGCTTGGGAAATATTAAGAACCAGGAAGGCACATTTTTTAAAAATTTTTGAATATTGTACATGAGCAACCCCCATGACATTAAGTTAAAAACAATGTTGAAAACATTATCTTTCTATATTATATTTACCTAAGTGTTTGATTAAACAATTGTAATAATTAGGTCAATATTTTGAAATTAATCATAAACTAAGAAATAATGTTTTGACATCTGATCTACAAAATCATCAAGTTTGGCATCTGTAAATGTAAAACAACTTGGTGCAATTAATTAAATATGTACCAACATTTTGGTAACTAAACAACTTAAATGTTCTATCAATTGTTTCTAATTGTATTACTTATAGTAATTAATTTTAATATATCAAATAGACTTTTCAACTTTAAAAGCAATAAAAAGAAATATTTAATTTAAATTCTTATTTTTGTAGTAGGAAATTTTAGAATAAAAATATTGATTATCATGTTTTTGTATTACTTACAATATAAAAATTAGAAATATTATAACAAATTTATTTTTTTTGAAGACTACTACTTAAATAATAATTATTTATGAGAAAAACTTAATAATAATTTAAAAAAAAATTTTTTTTTTTAGACAAACAAAAAGCACAAAGTCCAAAGCAAAAACGTGCAAAGAAGATAGAATAAATGAACAAACAAAGACTTATTCATTGATATTTATAACCCACTCTTCATCCGCATCATCGGATGTGATCAATAATTATCAATTTCTTTTCAATTGAAGGAAATTTGTACTAAAAATACATGTTGTAATTATATCTGAACAGCATTGTAAGAAATATGAGTACATTTTTAAGGTATTCTTTCCCTTTTTGTTATGTAAATAGATTCTAATGGAATTAGTATTCCATGTGATTATTAAATTTATATCCTTGTTTTATAATTATTATTTAAGCAAAACTATATTTTAATTTTTAATGTTGAATTATGTTTTGTTTTTGTATAGATCATATTTTGAATTGCAGATTTTTATTTTGCAAATTCTTTATAATATAGTTTTTTCTATTTTATTGGTTTCTGTAAATCCTATGATGGTACAATTATATGTATTATAATATTATATAATTAAAAAATGTGTAAAAAATTATTTTGAACATCTATGTTGTATTGTAAAGAATATATTAAAATCTCAAATAAATTTCAACATTTTTTGTAACTTAATAATTATTTTGGTTTATTAATGAAAATAAGGGTGCTCGTTTTATGACTAAAAATTTAGAATGTGATAAAAATAATACGTTGTTAACCTAAAAATCCGCTTTGATAGTAATTATAATTATTTTATTAATTAACTTATTTTAAGAGTATGTATAATTATTTTAGATTCTGAGTGGAGCGAGGGACATATTACTATTACAATGATATTTATTTTTTTATTTTTTTCCTATTGACAACTTTTTTACTCCAATTTTTAATGATATCATTTTTTCTAAAAGAAAACTGATGAAGAAATACTTTATGGAGGTCATTTTTAGATTTTCTCAGGAGTTTTCTCAATAAATAGGAAAAATAAGTACAAATCCTATTTAATATTTGTGCATGTAGTCCATCATATACAGGCAGTCGAGAATGTTGAGATAACCGAAAAGTACACTTTCTAACCTACCATAATATTATGTTTAAAGTACTCAAAAATAATGTTTTATAATTTTTATTTTTGTAATGACAAATGATAATAATATATTATCTCCTGTAATATACAAACATATTATTATAAACTATTCATATATTAATTTGAATTGTGACAACGTTTGTAAACATAAACTTTAGTTCTTTGATCTTGATATACCTAAGTACCTACTTAATGATCAGTACTTACACATAATATACAGATTTTATACTATTATCCATAGAAATATATATTTATAAAAGAAGTACACTTATCAGCAAGTAGATAAGTTTGTATTTTTGACCTCTTCAAATGTGTTGTCAATAAATTTCACTATAAATACATAAAATAAATAGATAGCAAACTCTGTATACTGGCTTGACAACAATTTGTAGTCTTCAACCATTTACAGATAGGGCAAAAACGATTGCAAAATAGGATATAATCGACATCGATATAAATATTATCGATTTTTATATCGATTCGATGTTTATTATCTCATGAACACAATGTAATAATAAGAATAACCCGTTAAATATCAATTCATTATCATATAATTCACTATCGTTTTTGCCCAACTTTTAAATGGCGTCTGATTTCTATAATAGATACGTGTTTGCTATCTAAGTATTTTATATATTTATGAATTTCACAAGCGTTTCATACAACAAAACTTGGCGTTTTATACAGGTAATATGCATGCGATTTATTAATAATATACTCTTAACATTTAAATCAATTTTCGGACAAATAAATCAACATATTTCGTGTTTATAAATACCTAAGTTACCATTTCTAATAATTATGTTATTCGTGCGTAATTATGGTAATAGTTGGCGATATAAAAATCGCTAGATGCTTTAATGCCTCAGCCAAATACGGCGTTCTCATTAATTATCGTTCTAATCACATCATAGGTAATCGCATTCCCAAATAATCACAATAACACATTATTGTCACAATCCAAATTAACATAATTATACAAGGCGAAATTATATAGTTTTGATAGGAGATACGAGAAAATCTGTAAAATGTTAGTAATGAACTAGGATAATGCAAGGGCATCTCTAAACCTTGATTATGGGTGGAGGAGGGGCGAAATAATTAAATTTAATATTAATGATTGATAAGAAAAAAAGGCGGACACACTTCGCACGATGGGTGGACAACTTTTACAGATGAGAAGTTGGGAAGGTCGGATATTGAGGGAAATTTAATGTATATCTGTACTTAAGCAACTATAAGCATTGCCAACAAAAACGATTTTGAGCGGAGCTCGGTTAATAGTATTGCTCAGGGGCGTCTTCGGGTCGATTCCATGGAGGGAGGACGACGAACAATTTTTTTTCCTGAATACCACCGCTTTGGTCAACAAAAACTTAAAACCTTTATGTCTGATGTCATTTCAACTTACATTAGCTATTAGCTTAGAAGACTGCAGATCTATTGTACAACTGTAGTAAAACAGTACAATTTAAAAGTTAAATTAATTTTTTTAATTTTTAATAAATTATAATTAAAATAATGATAATATAAATAACAAAAATAACAAAAATAATAAGAATAATAATTATTAAAAGTTAGATGACCAAGTCCAAAATATTTTTATTTTAAGCAGCGTTTTGCAAGCGGTTTGATCCATACCTATTAATATTTTCATTTTAATGAATACCCATTTAAAATTGATAGTTAGCCTCAGCTCAAAATTCTTTTGTTTTACCCCATAGTACGACTTTTAATGAACCTCATGTTAAATTCTCAAGTATTTCTGTTTGGTCTAACAATTTTATCCACATAGTACCTACCGAATAAAAATTACGTAAAAAACTCATAAAATTAAAATGTCTTTAAATTGCTCGAAAATTTGACCACGTCTATAAAAGGCAAATTTAAGTTTTTTATCCAAATTTCAAGTCTCTACGAATAGGAAGGGCACGATCGCTCTCCCTCGCCCTCTCTCCCCAGTGACGCACCTGAGAGAATGAAGAGTTGTACTGAAAGGAAATGGACTAAGAATGTAGAATGAGTAGAAGTGAAACAGAGTATACAGAATATTTGTTTACAGAACACAGAATTATGAAACAATAATAAGCGGTAGCGTAATAGGCGAGGTTGAGAGTTTTAAATATCTAGGATGTTTGTACAATACAACGGTTTTATATGGGATGTGATGTATAGGATTAAGTATATGGTTGGACAAAGTGGAGAGGAATGTCAGATGTTTTATGCGACAAGAGAATTCCAATTAGACTTAAAAGTAAGTTGTATAAGGTTGTGATGATGAGACCTACTGTATAATAAACGTATGGTTCGGAGTATTGATGGTGGTAGACAGAAAATATAATAGAGAATGCTTAGGTGGATGACTGATAGTCTAACCAGAAAAGATAGAAAAAAGAATGAGCACATAAGAGTTAGCATAAGCGTGACTAACAGAAAAAAATGAGAGAAAATAGATTGAGACGGTTTGGGCCTATCATGAGGAGATAGGATTTAGAAGCATAGAAGCAGTGAGAATGTTGATGGAAATAAACGTAGGAGAAAAAAGAGGAAGAGGAAGACCGGAAAATAGGTTGTTGGATGCGATTGACGATGATAATATGAAGACGACCGCAGGTGTGTGCGAGCATCCTCGCAAATACAGGGAGATCAGGTAAAGTGGAAGTTTAGAATGAGGGCGAGCGATCGACGCCGAAAATTTGGGAATATTAAATTCAGTTATGATAAGAATGTTCTTTGATTACGAGGAGCGCGATTATGTTCTATAATGATAGCCGATAAGTACGTCGTATTTGGTTGCGACGCTACACCGTCCAGCGTCTTTACATCGTTAACGGTCGCAAAATTGAAACAGTTTTGCCCTCGTTGTTCGTATATATTATATTATTACCTGTAGGGTTACGAAAACCGATAAAGTTATAATAATATAGCACACTTTTTGTTGACACACCCCGCAGAGGTTTTATTGTCATCATTACGATACATTCTTTTCGGATGTTAAAAGTATTATGTCCACGCCACATATTATAATGACATTTGTTAAATACATATTTTAAATGTGCGTACGTTTGCGGCAACCTTAGGTAGATACCTACTCCCTCGAGGGTTTCCGTTTTTCGAAGTTAAAATACTTATCTAACTCGCTTGTATGTTAATAAATTATAACATATAATAGTATATTTTGTTACAAAATCTACTAATTTATTCGATTATTTACCATTTATTATCTATAGGAGTAAGCGAAATCTTACTCCTCTGGACCACCACGACGGGTGTCCAATAGACTTTATTGTGTCTGTGTGTTCATTTGGACACAGAAAACCTCCTTAAAAAATTGAGATTGAGATAGGTATAGTTGTATGTCAATATTAGGCGTTAAAAAAATCAAACGAACAATTAAAATTTAAACCCGCTGCCATTGTGTCACTATTGTCCACATCACAACATTTAAAAAATAAGCACCAAGTGTACGTTTGTGTACAACAAAGTAAATTGTCAAAATTGGCATTGTTACGAGTACTTGGGAACCCCTGGCTATATTTTGCTGTCTGCAGTAGAGCGCAGAATTTATTATTATAATACAAAATGTTACTATTATCAAGCATTCAAACCGACTTTATTGTGCACCAAAAACGAGACTAAAAACAATAATATAATTAGTAGGGAGATATATTTAGTACTATTTAATAATACGAGTATTATAACACAATCAAGATCATTGTAATGGACCGGTCCATGAACTTACTGACTGAATATTAAAATAGCCTTAATTATATAGTTTATAAATACGTTCATCAGAACAACTCCAACGTTTAATATTTTAGTATCACTAGTATTATCGATTCAAATATTATAAATAACATACAATAGAATTATTAACTAAGTTGCTAAAGTTACAGAATAACTTCTAATTAATTATTCTTGAGTATACTATCTAAAATCAATGCTAAGAAAAGAAGACTCACTGCTTATAACTTAGTATAGATATATACGGGTTTACGTTTATATTATTTTACAC